TGTGTCAGCATGTACCAACTCTCCACCCAGCGATTCGAGGAACTCTTGCAATTACGGGGTCACGATACAGAGTCATGATTCAAATCAAGCCATCATTTTTACGTCCCATGTTTACCAACTTACTTGATTTTTCACTCCTTTTTTTACAGTTTTCTCGAAATGTAACATTCGCATATCATGTACATATCATTGTCATCAATCATAATTGATCAATTGGAACATGCATGATTTGATGCATGTATCGTGACCATCAGGATAGCTATTAGTTGATAAATCTAAGCGTCGTTACATGCTCGGTTTTATCCTGCAATCTGATCCAGGGGCTGTTAATATCCAAGTGTGCACACAATGCAGCAAGGCTCCAGAGCACATTCTATTCAAAAGCAGCTACTTTTGTCTCCACAATTTGCGTAACATGACAGACTTGGTAAAGCCCTGAGCCAGGCCAAGAAGGAATAGGCCGCGTTTGCAAAGTCTGGCATGACAGAAACTACCAGGGTTGTCCTATGGGAGAGATGGGTGCCCAAAATAGGAATGTGGTATTTTCATTATAAGCATCCAGCACAGATGAGTCCTGCCCAAAGCTTGGATGAGAAATGAGACTTTTTTTTAATTTAAATAGAGCAGTTCCATGTAACGTATTTAAAAATAATTAAAATTGAAGTTGTGTATTTCGGCATGGTCTTCAATCACAAACCATTGGTTACATAATTTGACTGGGTAACCCGGAATCATCTCTAGGTGCACCCGAGCCTGATTATAGGCCTCGAAGGACTCCCCCCCCCCCCCCCCCCCCCCCCCCCAAATAATGAAGAGATTGAGAAGCATCGGAGCAAGTGGACAACATTAATGCACTTCTTGAAGGACATGAAATGGCTCAGATCTCTAAACATTTATCTTTGACATTGTAGCTGCGTGGGCCTTACATCTTACTGACGAAGGGCATCCACTTAGCATGTTAAATCTGTCCAAGAACGGTAAGTGAGAACTAAATGACAAAACCTCACACCAGCACACACAAAACAATACGTTGAAAACTAATGGGGTAACCCCCCCCCCCCACGTAATTAAATGAATTGTCACTATTCAGAGTCAATGTTCAATGAAATAATCTACTATTGTTTAACATTGTTGTAAATGTAATGGTCTCTTGTGGCTGGAAGTAGCAAGTGACCCCCACTACATACAATAAAAAATATATTGACCCTCACCCATGCGACTGGGTGTATGCATCTTGAGCTTAATAATTAATATTAACTACTGAAATAATGCATCTCCAGTCAACTTGCTTGTCTCCTGAGTTTATTTGTGGTGTTTATCATGGCAAACAATGCAAAACTGTGTAACATGATTGAGGAGTTTAAGAAGTAGCATTGTCTATGAATCCTTATTGATTCTCGGTGAGGAGGAAGAATTGTGGATTAAGGGTGGTGGATAACAAGAAGTCTACTGAAAAATAGTTTGTCTGGAAAAATAAATTGGTTTTGCTTGGGAAATTAGGCCATACTGAAAAAGTATTGAAGACTCCGTGAGGGTATTCTCAGCAAGAGTATTTAACTTATTAAAGGGAAAATGCCCTTAAATGGTCTCAATAGGTTATCTTAGTTTGACTATTCTAAGTTTAAAGGTATTATTTTGACGTGCCTTATGTCGTGCTGATCCAGCAAACAAGAGTAATGTACAGTGAACACAGCGTAACTACATTGCAAGTTAGAAATAATGTGTAAAGTTGAAATGCTTCATGGGAATAATAATTTTGAATGACACAACACTTATATTTACCATTACTGAATATCTATGACTCTCAGCACGATCCTCTCATGTAATATTTTGTCAATATTTTCATTTTTGTGAGGAACCCAGAATACTCAGAGAAAAGCACACATAAGGGATGTTAGACATCTGTTTGTTATATCGGTTGGTAAGAATTTTACCTCTAAATTAACTAACCTGCTGGGTTAGGAACCTGATGGTATTACATTTTGGTCCAGCAGGTAGGCATCTCTCATTATCACGGCTCTTACCAGGATTGACCATTTAAGACTCTTTTCCATGTGACGTAAGAGTTACTGGGCACATAAATGGTCCCCCGTTGGCAACACCACAACCAGTCAAACATTAACACTGCAATTCTTAGAAAATCTAAATTACTAGTCTTTCTATTGACTGGTTTCATTTGCTAATTGGAAGCATTATTATATGGACAGAAACGCTTTAATATCCATTTTCTAACAATTGTGCCTTGCTGGACCACATGACAAAGAGGACGGTGTCAAGGTTCCGTTACACATGAGACGATATGAGAATCAATCTTGATTCTGAGGTTGTTTAAACAATTGGGTGGATGTAGAGGTTTTGTCACTCACCACTAAACCATTTTGCATGTGGTCGAAGGTTTGATTTCCATTACAGCCGGCCAGTGGGGTAATGTTATTGTTACTATTATTATGAAGGATGCTATTAGATATTAAGTGTATATTAAACACAACAGATGCGACTCATAAGAACGGAACCTTTTTAGTGCCACATCTTAAAAATATCCACGATTTAAAAATGACTCAAGTAAATTATAATGCAGTATTTTAACAACAGTATATAACTGCAGTACCCAGGTATACCTTGCAAGGTATTACCCTAAGTGGGCTTTCATTGGTTTGTATGATGCTGGAGAATATCCATTTAATTTGACCATAAAATAAAATTATATGTAATTTAACGGGTCCTTCACGATGATGAAGATGATGAAGATGCATACTAAAGGGTGTTTGGGCTTTGCGAGACCTACAGTGAGGGAAAAAAAGTATTTGAACCCCTGCTGATTTTGTACGTTTGCCCACTGACAAAGAAATTATCAGTCTAAAATTTTAATGGTAGGTTTATTTCAACAGTGAGAGACAGAATAACAACAACAAAAAATCCAGAAAAACGCATGTCAAAAATGTTATAAATTGATTTGCATTTTAATGAGGGAAATAAGTATTTGACCCCCTCTCAATCAGAAAGATTTCTGGCTCCCAGGTGTCTTTTATACAGGTAACGAGCTGAGATTAGGAGCACACTCTTAAAGGGAGTGCTCCTAATCTCAGCTTGTTGCCTGTATAAAGACAACTGTCCACATAAGCAATTAATCAATCAGATTTCAAACTCTCCACCATGGCCAAGACCAAAGAGCTCTCCAAGGATGTCAGGGACAAGATTGTAGACCTACACAAGGCTGGAATGGGCTACAAGACCATTGCCAAGCAGCTTGGTGAGAAAGTGACAACAGTTGGTGCGATTATTCGCAAATGGAAGAAACACAAAAGAACTGTCAATCTCCCTCGGCCTGGGGCTCCATGCAACATCTCACCTCGTGGAGTTGCAATGATCATGAGAACGGTGAGGAATCAGCCCAGAACTACACGGGAGGATCTTGTCAATGATCTCAAGGCAGCTGGGACCATAGTCACCAAGAAAACAATTGGTAACACTACGCCGTGAAGGACTGAAATCCTGCAGCGCCTACAAGGTCCCCCTGCTCAAGAAAGCACATATACATGCCCGTCTGAAGTTTGACAATGAACATCTGAATGATTCAGAGGACAACTGGGTGAAAGTGTTGTGGTCAGATGAGACCAAAATGGAGCTCTTTGGCATCAGCTCAACTCGCCGTGTTTGGAGGAGGAGGAATGCTGTCTATGACCCCAAGAACACCATCCCCACCGTCGTTGTGGTTATTGCAAACATGATGCCTTGAATAAAGGTGTCAGTTTTTGTGCCAGTTAAAAGGGTAAAACCTATTACTATATGGTGGTGGAAACATTATGCTTTGGGGGTGTTTTTCTGCTAAGGGGACAGGACAACTTCACCGCATCAAAGGGACGATGGACGGGGCCATGTACCGTCAAATCTTGGGTGAGAACCTCCTTCCAGCCAGGGCATTGAAAATGGGTCGTGGATGGGTATTCCAGCACGACAATGATCCAAAACACACGGCCAAGGCAACAAAGGAGTGGCTCAAGAAGAAGCACATTAAGGTCCTGGAGTGGCCTAGCCAGTCTCCAGACCTTAATCCCATAGAAAATCTGTGGAGGGAGCTGAAGGTTCGAGTTGCCAAACATCAGCCTTAAAACCTTAATGACTTGGAGAAGATCTGCAAAGAGGAGTGGGAAAAAATCCCTCCTGAGATGTGTGCAAACCTGGTGGCCAACTACAAGAAACGTCTGACCTCTGTGATTGCCAACAAGGGTTTTGCCACCAAGTACTAAGTCATGTTTTGCAGAGGGGTCAAATACTTATTTCCCTCATGAAAATGCAAATCAAGTTATACAATTTTTGACATGCGTTTGTTTGGATGTTTTTGTTGTTATTCTGTCTCTCACTGTTCAAATAAACCTACCCTTAAAATTATAGACTGATCATTTCTTTGTCAGTGGGCAAACGTACAAAATCAGCAGGGCATCAAATACTTTTTTCCCTCACTGTAGATACACAATTCACAATCTCAGCCCCACAAATGATCGTTTTCACCAAAACGTTTGGAAAATTGTGTAGACATAATTGAGCGTTCCACCGTGGCGAAATGTTTACTACCTCGCTTGGTATACAGGGACGCGTGGGTTCGATCCCGACCCTGACGCCTGCTGTATATTTTGAGTTTGCATGTTCTGCACTTGGAAACGTGGATTTTTCTCTGGGTCCTCCAGTTTTTCTCTCCACATTTAGAAACCTGCGTTTATAGTATTTGGCTGCTATATATTTCCACATAAGCCACTTCGTTGAGCTATCATTTGTGGTCAGGTCGCTCCTGAAAAATATCTATATAACTCAGTGGGCCTTACCTGGTAAAATAAATAAAAAAGTTTAGTTCCATTTTCATTTTACTGAGATAAACCGACCAACTTTACCAATTGTCTCTCTTCCATTACGATTAAACTGTCAACGTGGAAGGAGTAGTGACGATGTGATGGCTTAACTCGGCAACTTGAAGGTCAAGTTGGTCGATCACGCAGGGACAGTTCTTATTTTACACAATTTATTTAATGATTTTAAGTGAAGCTAAATGTGCTGACACCAAAGGAACACAATGGCACAATTATTCATTCCGCGTGGCAATGTCCAATTTACAGAAGAGAACAGAACTTAATAATTGTCTCGTACTGGGCAGCTGTGGCAGGAATCGAACTATTGACCGCGTATGAATTGGCTCAGTGGTAAGCAGGCAACCCACTCGGTCCACCCAGCCACACAAAACACCAATGTGCCAATCACGTGAACATATTCCACTCGGAATAAAGAGTCACCACGATAGATGGTTCCAGAATCCACATCTTAAATCAAGTTTGAAATCTCACACTACTGCAACAGTGTGATCATTTGTCTCAGACATGATGGCTGCAGCCACCAAGCCATAACAAACTGAGAGCTAACAATACATTTTACACCTGACAAATGGTAACACTAAATCTAGTCAAGTCAAAGTGTTAAAACATGTCATTAGTAATCCTAAATTATATTCTCACAATCTGCACAAATAGGTCTGACAACAATGTGTAATCAATATCACCAATGTATTGGACAAGCTATTAAAATAACTTGGTTGATAATGACGGCTCAAAGAACAGGCTGAATGAAAGGAAGGCAGAACCCAAAGCACGGTTGATCATTGCAGACACCATTTATCCTGGTTCATCCAACGCACATTTGTTGCATTTATTCTTAAAGTACATCCTTTTTGAGTAAAATTTTAAGGTTGAAGCCTGAATCTTAAAATGGAATGCCACGTCAGCATGATTCATGCATTACAGAGTGATGGGGCGTCTGTGCAGAAATAATGGAAATCAACACACGTCTCCGATACATTTACATTATTTTTTTCTGAAATTGAAACCCACTCATTTTGCATATTGAGGCATCAGACTTTATCAATTCATGGCAACAATAAATCTTCCAGTATACATTTGCCTCCATTAATTATGTCAACGCCTTCGAGTGGTTACATCGGGATGCACGTGCTAAGTGGGGATGCACGTGCTAAGTGGGGATGCTCTGGAAAAATGGACATTCAAAAATCCAGAATTTTAGGTGGAGCTGGATTAGAATTCGTAAATCTTCAGTTGTGTATTCAGAGAAACAAATATTCATGTTACTGTAAATGGCTATTGTCACTGGATCTAAAACAAAATGAAGCAGTTGTTTTTTGGGTTGTGCTTTCCTTTTTAAGACAGTTTAAAAAAAAACTAGTGATTCTGCTTGTTCTTAAAACCAGTCAAAATAAAAAAAAACTTAAGACAATGAAACCGAGTCTCCTGGAGATATCTCAAGACTGTGATTCACAAACCCAGTCTCATGGAGCCAATCTCCAAGATTTTCAACCGAAATCCAGTCTCCTGGAACCAAATCTAAAAACTCCAATTCATAAATACGGTTCCCTGGAGCTGAGTGTCAAAATTCCAAAGCTGATAGCCAGGACTCTTTAGACAAGTTTCGATCCCCCGACCCTGAAAAATGGACTTGTCGTCTCAGATCTAAAGAGCCTCGCACAAGTGGGTAATGTAGCGCACTTTGAGTTGGATGTTTAGCTTGAAGGGCCCATGGAGGATCCATCCATATGCCACACTCTTGTTGCTTATGATACATTGTGTCCACTTCCACTGTGCAATGCAGCTCCAAATGGCACAGGTTTTGCGCTTAGCGCGGTAAGTGGCCCACGTCATGTATGGCTCCAAATATTTCATTTTTTGCAATAACATTTTTTTCCCAGCGTCTCTTCAGAAAACATCAGCAACAATTCCCTCGCAGGCATTCGCTGGAGCTTCTTAGTTCAGTGTGCTGTTTTTAAACATTCATTTTACTTAACTATTGACCCTTATTGGTAAACAAATTACCAAAAAATGATAACCATTGTGCAGTGATTACCAATCAATAATCTGAGCCAAGTATGCATTGGTTGACAGGTGATCAAATCCAGTTGAGTTGACCAAGGGAAGGTTTTTTACTTTGTGGTAATTTCAGGCAGAGCTGATGTTCAGTTGACCAAGAGCAGGTAAACATTTCAGATTCAGCCAATTTTGGTGATATTTCAAGCTGAGTAGACCTATAGGAGTTCAGGATCTTCATATTTGGTCCAATTCATGAAACACAAAGTATCACATTATCTTTAATTATCGTAAGCCTTAAAAATTAACAATCTCAAAAAAACATAAAAAAGATACTTTGCTTGCCATTGCTATTTTCCTTTTGTCATTTCAATCTTACATTGATGCAGCAAACAAAAAAGACATTCGAGCGGGTTAAAAAATATCATGACATCAACCAAGGTCTACACGCCTTCACAAATCTGGTGTCTGAAGAAAACTATTTAGGACGAGTTAAACTAGAAAAGAATGAGAACTTGGTTTCACACTTGGTCCAGTTGAGCCCATATCCGAGGGCTGATTTGGCAGATAGGCACAGAGTTAATCGCTCGCGAATCAACATGGCCAAAGAGGATACTGAAGTCGTGTAACAATATAACTGCAACATTAAAAATGCTTTTGATATCACGCCCTTTGATATAGCCGCCTATGATAAAGCGCCCTATGTGCCAAGGCATCTCAGCATTTTAAAATCAGATCTCATGAAGAACATTTTGAAACGGAACCACCATTGGCAGCTATGCCTGGGGGCACATGATGAACTAAGCATCTGGCTTGCAAAACGCGCCTTAGTGTGACAGTAGGGGAGTGACGCAACCACAAGTGGGTAACACTGTAATTGGTGGAGTTTTTACTTAATGTCTAAGGTGGCAATTGAAGGATCAGCGGATGTTTTCAGCCCATCTACAGCCAACTAGTGTTAGCCACGTTGAGTTCTAGTGGTCCGTAATGAGTGCAGGCAACGGATCAAATCTTTCCTACACTTAGCACTGGAGATCCCGATAGAGCTGTTAACGCATTAAAAGTTCTCCACATTGAAAACAATTTCCAGTAGTCGTGTATAGATTTGAAACACATTTATACATTTTTTTTCAGGAATGACAAATTATAGAATTTGGTGGAACTTTTAAATAGTGTGAGACAAGCAAAGACACCCTAAGAAAATATTAGCTCTGTTTTAGAGACAGGGCTTTGTATCAAATAATAGAAGCATTGTATATTGATGTGACCAGGGCTCTGTATTAAATGCAGGATAGCAGTTAAGTCTCAAGACAAAACTTGTGGTAAACTCCACAATATAATACAAGCATGTTTTATTGGACGAATCCGCAATGAATCAAAGAGCTTAACTCTGTGTCTATTAGCCAGTGACAAATTTGTAATTTATTCAACTCATCATATGATAATAAAGCCGGAAGAAGAAAAATGGTTGATTCTTTTGTTTTTAACTCATACAAATGTGGTAAACAAATTTACACACAGGACAGTGTCATAACAAAGGGTAGTGTGTTTGGGTGGCAGTCTCAATGTGACACAGGAGTCAGAGGGCCGGCCTCTCCAATGCATGGCGCATCCTGTAGAAGAAAGTCTACCAACATTCTACATTCACACACACAATCGAATCACGGCAATGTTCATGATCCATTAGAATCTGCAAGGATCACCTTCCCAGATCCATTAATTTAAGTCAATACATTGTTCAGAAACAATGCTCCATCCACTCAACATCTGTTGAACACGTGACCAATTAAAAACAAAATTACTCGTGCGGCTCCTGGGTAACCAATTTTTGTCTCAGCGATGCCTTTCGTAAAAAAAAAATCCTCTTCCCACCCGTGGCTTCTACAACACAAGGTGCGGGATGAGACATACCAGGGTATGTCAACATTTGGAAGAGCAACCCCCTGGACAAAATCGAATCCAAGGGGATGGCATCAAATGATAAGAACAGGATGGTTCACCTCACCCTTGTTTTCCCTCCGGATTGAACAGCAAGTGCTCCACTCTCATGCCCTCTGACTTACTCACTAATTTTAGGTCGCCTGGTGGTGCAGGAATGTGCTCTTTCTCTGCAAATCGTGCATTCCCTAAGCCTCAAGTCTTCACTCTAGGTTCTTCAGATGGCTTGGAGTCCTTTTTTTCCCTGTGTTTCTCTCTTATGTACCATCTCAGTTCGATCACTTGTTCTGCTCCCATCACTTGTTCTCCCTTTCTGAAGCCCCTCTCGTTCGTTTGTTTTAAACAGGGATCCCTCTCTCATCTTCTACTCCTTGAAGTCCATGTTAAGTTTGGGACCCTCTGTCTATCGCTCCTGATTCTGCTGCTGTTATTCCATTTATTGCAGTGGCTGCAACAGCCACCAATGCAATTAATTGTATTTCGGCCAACAGTAGCTGTTGTTGCTATTACCCTGTTGCTGAGAATACCTGCTGCAACCCCTCCTCATCCATCCGCTGCTATTGCCACCCGAGAATGCATCCAATGTTGCTATCAAAGCTTTTACTGTTACCTCTTACAGATGCCGCTACTGCTGCAGATTTACCCGCACTCGCAATTCCGCCACGTATTCAGACGCCACTGCTCCTTTTAAGTCACACTGTAGTCAGTATACCTCCCGTTGCAATACCCCCACTACCTACTGCTTCTTTTCTGTATACTTGTCCACCATTTCCTCCTTCTCCTGTTCCTCCACTTCTCAGTGCATCAGCTATGAGTACAACTTCTCTCTCTCCCATTGGTCCTGCAGCTCCTGCTGCTTGCTGATACACCTGCTGTAGTTGTTGGTGTAATTAGAACTCCTGTAAGTTTTGCTACTCTGCCAATGTTTACACTGTTCCAGACGCTCCTATTGCTTTGATCGTATTTTCCAACTGCTCCTGCTACACCAATGCTTCCAATTCTTCTGCTATTCCTGCTGTTGTCACCACTTATTCGACATCTCCTCCTCCACCACCTTGTGACCCAACTTCTGCTATCGATGCCACCGCTACGACTTCCAACCACTGTCAGTCCTGCTGCTGCAGCTGATGGAGCTGATACACACATTGCAACCTCTCCTGTACCTGCTGTAGCAGCCAATTCCACAGGTACTCTTTCAACACTAGCTGGTCCTGCCACTTCTGATGCTGCCATAATGCCTCCTTGCCGCCCCCCCCCAACCCCCGGCTCCAGCTGCTGTCACTGCAGCACCTCTGCCTCCTATTTAGTCCATCTGCTGCTGTGACTGCTGCTGCTGCTGAGCACTGATGGACGTATGTAGGGAGCCGGGGGACGTGAAGGGTGGCGGGGAGGCGGGGGGCGGCAGGGGCTGGGGGTGCACGAGCGCCAGTTTTGGGGGCAGCTCAGGGGGGCACATCCCCCCCCCTGGCATGAAGCGCGCAGCCTCCCCGCCACCAACACTGCCGGTGATGGAGAGGCGCGCCTTGTTCCGCAAGGCCTCCGCAAAGCTGACCTAAAGCACAACCGCGACAAATACCACCACTACGTCACACGCTGCGGGTCAAGGGAACATGGCACACACAGCATGCAGCCCTCTTCACGCTATGTGGAATGAGTGCATGAATTAATTCATGGGGTTTAATGAGTTAATGGCTGAATAAGTGGATGATTAGGTTAATTAAATAGTGTTATTTGTGCAATTCAGTATGGAGTTAAGTGAACGAGTCGAGTAAAACCTCTCGGAAGTCGGATTTGAGTTAGGTAACAAAATCAGAGTAACCCAGAAAGGCTCCTAGAAAATTTTAAAGAAACCAAAAACACAACTCAAAGCAGAATACGGTTTGCGTGCTAATAAAGCCGTGCATATCGGTTCCGTGGTCTGTCTGCATGCATAAGTCGACAGCCAAGAGCTTTGCCGGTAACAGTAATTTTATTGATAAATTATTCTTGTTTTTTACAGTAATACCTCTATTAACGAAGTAGATGCATTCCACGGCGTCTCGTCGTTGTCAGAAACTTCTTTGCCAGAGGAAAAGGGATGCGTTCCAGGAGTTCAGAGAAGGGGGGTAACAATAGGAAAACATTGGTGCACAGAAGCCTTCACTTTGTCCGCTTGGTTTACAATTGTCCTCAAGGTGGACTGCTCGAGCCATGGAGGACAGGGGAGGTAAGTCTGGAGAAGCATGCCGCTGAATGACCGCTGATACTATAACCAAACCTCACTGGATTGTGCCTGCAGGGTGCGCGCGGCATTTTGATTTTTACTCTTTTGAAATGCTTTGCATAATTTCTAAAATTTGTTTTCGATTTTTTTGTTAATGTTTTCGATATTTTTTGCAAATATAGAGGGCCAAAGGGTCCAACCATGGCCAAATTCGTTTTAAATGAGCTTCGTTCCCTGAGGAGTCGTTAACAGAGGTATGACTGTAATTATTTACATTGTTATTTGTTTTGAAAACCATACTTTAATTTTAAAAAATGTTGTCAAGAAAACAAAAGTAAGAAAAAAACCAGAGAGAGTGACAGTGTAGTACCCTAGGATGCCTCGTCAGCCATCCACATGCTCTGGTAGTGCTCTCACTTTTTAACAAGCATTTATTTTAAGACAAAATATATTCCACACACCAACTACCCTTTTGCAAAGAATGAACCTTGGCTTTCAATCTTTCATTCATGGTGATAGCAAGTGACTTAGATTAAACAATATAGTTGTGAGTCTTACGTGTCATTACATTGTAAATAGTCAGTTGTTAAAATGTAATCAACCGTTATAAAGTGCTTTTTTAAATGTTGGGTTTTAATTATGTGTAAATGTTACTTAAATAACGTCATTTTGCAAGTATTAAATCATTTTCAGTACGCTGGACATCCCCTATAACCAGAGAGGCTTCCCCAATTAGTCCGGTGCCAAGAGGTTTCACTGTAAATTAACAAGATAAGGAATGTGCACAAAATGAATGACTTGATAGGCCTGCGACTTGCAGGCCCCGACGTGGGTTTCAATTGAGTGAATGAGCAACAGAATTATTATATCGATGTGTGAATGAATGAGTGAGGGAGGGGGACCTGGTATCTGCGGGCCTCGGCGCGGGATTTGCAGCAGAACTCCACGAGCGCCACGAGCATGGCAAGGCCAAGGCCCCCGACGAGAATGTAGAAGACGCCGGCCACGTTACTCAGGCTCAGGGCGCTGGTCTTGTCCTGCTCGCGACATGCATGGTGTGGCATGCCGATGGGCGCACGAACGGGAACGATAATATGGGACGAAACACGGGGCCGACCAAGTGATGCACGGTGGGAGTGGACACGATAAGGCGATACGCGAGTGGTGGACACAGGGGATGACACGGAATTGAAAATGGTGGAAAAGTGGAGCCATACAGAGAACCATGGAGGTACACAGATAGGGTGGACACAGGCATGACAGAATATGTGTGTGACACAGACATCACATAATGCGGATTCCATTGGTGGCCAAATAGGGATGACACACGAGACACCAAATGGACAAGTGGACAAGGATGGGATAGAACAAATAATGGGTCACACAATGAGTAGATGATCAGGTGGACACCAGAATTAGAGACACACACGGGCCAGATGATGTGTGTAAATATAACAGCACATGCAGGAGACACTTAGACAGATGGACAAATAAAAGGGTGGAAACAAGAGATAAACAGGGGTGAATTCAATGCTTTAAAACCCCATTTCCTCTCTAACTCAGCATGCAATTCAAGCTCGCTTAAATGTGGTGACACAAGGAATCTCCGTAGAATTCTCGAGGTGAATTTAAAGTGCACCTGTCACAAGCAATGCTGTTGACTCTCCAAATGTTGCACAAACACGCCTGCTTCACATATGCATCTGTAAACGTTGTTGCTTGTTGCCAACAGCACAGTTGCATGTTACATTAAAATGCTTATCTGTGACATACACACGTCCCATTATAGCCTGACTCTGGCCAGCTGACAGTTAATCTTATCATGCTATTCACGATGCAGCGTATAAGGAGTTGATTGCCAAATGCAACCCACCATTCATGGTTTCCATTGGGCAGTCATTGTCGATGTGATCCAAGATGAACTGCCCTTCATAGGTCACTAAACATTGAACGCTTTTTGTGTGATTATTTACAATGTTTGTACAAGTCATAAACTTCTTGCCAAATGCAGACCAGATAACATGCATGAGGGCTTCCCCATATAGTGTTGTTTGACTATACTTTATCACGATGCTCAGTGTATGTTGATGGTGGTAAAGCATACACGTGGGAGTATAGAAAGTAGATTTATAATAATGGATTTAGCTGGACCTTGCTGTACACAGAGCCCTGCTGCCAACTAAGACAACCTGTCACAGGCTCGGGTCTGTTTACTTTCCTATATTGGTTGTATTCAGGCTCATTTGGTCAAAGGGCATAATAACATTAGCAGGAAGATATTCCTGGCGTCTGTTATCACAAAATATGAATAGCAGCACAATCATCAAGTAATCCACAATTTTAATGGATTATGGGAATCTGAGGGTGGCATTTGGACAAAGTAATTGGCCAGAATAGTGTGTGTTATGTAATACAAGCAACAGAGTTTACACCGAGGCACAATGCTTTCTGTGGAGAATTGAACAATATTGGAAAATGCAACAGGATTACACAAGATGAGGTTACACTTTTTCATTCCAGCTTAAGGGGTTCATCAAAAAGATGAGCTTAAAACTATGCCTAAGTTATGGAAAAACTACATGTACAGTTCAATAAATATGCTTTAAAGTCTGTTGTGGCTGAATCACTGTTGAGCCAGATTTAATTGTTCCTGCCTTGTGTCACAACACAAGCTATACACAGACAGAAATACAAACCAACGTCACTCAATCCTGTGGTTCTTTGACTGGGTGAGAGCCCATACTGTCTATTTTGCAAAACCGGGATTCATGAACTGTGCTCATCTGTGTCATTACTCAAATTGCATTATATGATTTACAAATTCATCCCAATTGTGCAATTTAGGATCACAGTCATGTGGTGGAAAAACACCTGATCCATTGACTCTTTGGGCAGCATCGTATGCGTCACCAAATGGTAAAACCCCGAATAAAACCACTGAACCAATCTGCTGTGCCCTCAACTCTCAATCAACGAGTGCCTCAACTGCCTCAAATAATCGCAACTGTGAGACAGTGCTCTTGCACACTGTTGTTGATGGCGACTCACACACCACATCACCAAAAAGCCATTGTCAATCCACTACCGAATCATTATCCATCATTATTCTTGAGCATGGTCCATCATTCCTGCCAGCCATGCCCATTTAATCTTCCTAACAGTTTAAATCATGTCATCAACCTGCAATTGTTTTGTTTTAGAAGGTTCTCTGTATCATTATTTCATAATGTATGTTCTATAACACACCCATTACTCTTTCCATATCTCAATGTAAATTAAAGCAGGCTTGTCCCCATGGTTATTTTTGAACTCTTCTTTATTTTTGCAATGAATGAACATGATTCTGAATCGTACATGTATAGTCCGCACGGATTAAAAAAATAACAATTCCTGAGGTACATTGGGATGTTATTTTTCAAGGTCAGATTTAATTCTGCCTATTAATTTAATAATTTGGATACCAATTCACCTAAAATGACTGTCCTAGGTACGCAACAATTTTCTCTTTTCAAGTTGTGTCCCCATGACAGATCTCCACTGATTTATTTTGCAGCCTCCTTTATTACATTATTATAACATTTCCTGTAGTCTATTCTCATCGAACATAACAATGGCTGTCGTCAACAACTATCATTGTTAATGTTTTCTCCATTCACAGCGATGCATCGACTCTCCAATACAGTTTTCAGCAAATACATTCTGTCACGGTGAATAACTTTTTTGAAAGCATGTAGCCTTGTCCAACTCTTAGTATGTATGTTGGTACGCTATTCATGTACTCATAGTTTTTATGATTTTAAAATATCTTTTATTCAGGCCTCGGTGATTGACTTAAGCTTTTGACTCTCATCAATTTAGAATGCCCTTTCCTAGCCTAAAAATGCAAGGCTCGAAGATAATTGAATTTAATTCGTCTTTTCACTTATCTGATTCACAGTATGTGTGTTTGCTCGATGGTGGGAAACCTTTCCCACTCTGCTCGCTCCAGTGTATGGTCGATCTCTAATTGTTTTCATTACTCTTTTCCCAATGATCTTTGTGAACAATTTATATACTGTATGTAGGATAGGCTACCATTCCACGTTTGCAATTTCAGCCCTCTATGCTGCACAAAGTCAAGTAAAATGTAAAATCCAATGAGTAAAATTAGATGATTTTGCAGGCTGACCATCAATCTTGATAGACAAAGGTAACTAGGTTTAAACTCTGGTGGCTGCCCGTATTTGAACCAAGGCTACTGGTACAGTAGACTGGCAAATACTATAATCAGCTTAAGACACACATCCAGCACGTCATGAATCCACAAAACTGCTTTTTCCAAGTCATTATTTCAAGAATTGGCTCCAGGAGCCCAAGTCTCGAGATCAGTGTCTCTAAACTCATCTCAGGAAGTTCAAAATCAGTGTCTTGGGGAATGGTTCCAAGACACCTGGTCTGAAGATCAGCATCTTCATCTTTGCATCCAGGAGACCAGCTTTCAGGAGTAATGTCTTAAGACTCGGCTCCAAAATACTTAGCTTTAAAATCAACATTGAGACTTGACTGGAGACTGTCTGGGTTCGGACCACCTACTTATTTCAATAACCTGGTATCTAATTGGATGGAAAAAGAGTGATCTGCATCAGATTAGCTGGGATATTGACCTGGTCTCTGATTTGCAGAAGTAAAAAGAGTGATTGGCTAGGTTGGAGCAACAAGTCTCTAATGTTAATCACACGGTTACATGAAAACCCACTCTACCATGGCCAAAACGTGTCTGGAGGCAGAATGCCCCTTTTCCCCCTATGGTCCTGTCACTATCAGAGCTCTCCCCCACCAAAGCCACCTGGCCACCCCTTGAGATGCGCCTCAAGCCCAGTGGTGCCATGGGGTCACAACACTCACCTTGCTCTGGGCGTCCTTGGCACCGCACTCTCCCTTATCGTACCACCACTTGTTTTTGAGTTTGTCTAGCGTCCCTAGCTCGCTCAGTTTGAGCACCGCTAGGTTTACCCGGGTTCTGGGGGTCGAGTGGCGCACAGGACGAGTGTGGGAGGAGGGCAGATCGAGCCCGATGTTGTTGAGCCCCAGTCACCAGGATTTAGGTGGGCAGGTGGTGTCAGGAAAGCAGAGACAGAGAGAACAACCAAGAGGACGGGACGTGACGCAGACAAAGAGAGAGGGAGAGAAGTGGAACAAGAGAATGCGGCGAGAGAGTAAAGGAAAGGGAGGGTGAGATGAGATAATAGAATGTATGGAGGGACAGATTGGGAGGAATGACATCAGAGTGGGAGATGTAGGATAGTGAAAAAGAGTGGAATATGGAGGGAGAGTAATAGAGAAGTGACATAAAATATAAAGGGTAAGAAAGGAAAGGAAACGAAAAGAGGGAGAGATTTTGGAGACCGAACATACAAGAGTGGAAAAGATAGAAAAAGACAGGGAAAGAGGTGGAGAAATGAAGAGAGACATAAGACGGAGTGGAAATTAATGGGTGAGGGGGAAATGATTGCGAAGGGAGGAGAGAGAGGATATAATAGAGGGAGGAAAGTTAGTGCCGAAATGAGAGAGGAGATCGAGAAGAAAATGCAAAAAAGTAATAAGAGTGTTTCAGAGATAGGAAGACTTAATGGGATTGGGAGTAAAGGGTTTAAAGAGAAAATAAAAATAGGGCCAAGAGAAAAGATAACAGGGGGACATGTGTGTAGGGGAAAATAAATCACAGCACGTGGCAACAGGGTACAGAGTTAATAAAATAAAATAAACCGGGAGTTGAAGTGATGATCGGAGAAGCATGCAGAAATATGGAGGAAGAGAAGGGGTGATAGGCATAGTGAAAATGAAAACAGTGAAAAGTGAGGGAAAATAGTGTATATACAAAGAGCGATAAGCCAAGGTGAGAGAGTTTGCAAGGGAGACAAAGTGGTAGATAAATAAAACATGATAAGAGAAAGAAGAGGACTAAGTTTAAAAAAATGAGATGGGAGGCAGAGAGAAAAGTGGAAGTTTGAAGAGAGGAGACAGAGAGACAGAGGCAGACACACAATAGGACGCACGGGAGGGCGGGGCGACATAACAAACATAACAGCAGTTATGTTGTGTTACTCCGAATGATGTCCATTCCCATCAGGTCCGCACGTGTCAATGACGTCACAGCCCCACCACCAAATCCTCCCTGAACTGGCCACCCAGACCAAACTACGACAAGGATGGGCGACCATTGAGATTCATAACCACCTACCAATTGGAAAAAAAACATTCACTGTTATTACGATACCCAGCACGTGTCACTTAAAATCTACGCTTTATAAGCCTAATTTTTGGTAATCATATTTTGTAAATGTGGATTTGGCTATGTATTCTCAATGTGATGCTTCGTCAATGGGAAAAAATACTTGAAAGTGACTTTAAAGTTGATTTGGTGACGTCACCACGGTAATGTACCAGAATGGAATCATGCAACCGACATCACTGGTGCCGCTGCTTCGGTAACGTCAGACTTGAAAGTATGTTTTTCTCATTCATGAAGCGTAAATGTCACATGGGACAAGGCCAGAACACAGGCGTGGGTTGCATCTTTACGCAAGTTCGAGAACAAACCAGACTCAGGTGAGCCACATTGGCGAACACTCTTTATGGTAAATGATAGGCGAGTTAGGGGCGTGGTGGGACGACGTCATCACGAGTCGAGCACGTGGCCCCCGCGGAACCCGAAGAATAATCGACGGTCACGTGATCACGCCCGTTCGTCAGTGCTGGATCACGTGACAAGTTCGCATTCGCGGTACGACCTAGTGGCTGGCATTGTAATTATAATGCTAATACTGCAATGATAATATGGATAATAAATGCATACCTGTCAACCCCTTATCAGTCCCTACCTTATTACAGACCAATTCAGACCTTATTGGTCATCCCATGCCCTTATACATCTCAACGTTTATCCTACAAAGTCCCATCATAAGGGAGAAACACAAATAGACAAAATATTTTTCCCATATTGAAACGGCTATACGCCGTATGGACCTGAAAACTCAATTTCCTTGTGCAAGAATACGGGTAAACCGTATGGGTTGACAGGTATATAAATGTGTAAAATATATACCGTAGGTCTTATTGAAATAATTTCCAACTTTTTTAATGGGGTCACATCATGAGATGAATAATTATATTTGGAATTTCCATTGAGCGGTAGGTGGACACCATCTTGTTTGACATCAGACACTACTACAAAATGCCTCTTGAAGCCAAACTCAATTGAATTGCAATTTAAGGGTAAAGTCAGAAAGGCAGTATATAAATAAATATTAGTAAAAAAAACTTGAAGAGAGTACTCTGTTCGTGCACTAATTATGCTGTGAGCGGTGGTGGACACAGCACTCTACCACATCATTATGCGGTGATGATGGTACACTGTCTTCTCCTTGGACATCACTATTCACTCAAATATATTATAAAAGTAAAAGCTGTTGAAAATTACGTTTATAGAATTTAAGAAAAAAAAGTTTAATTTATATTACATATACGTGAAATAAATTCAATCCTGTTGAAATTTTTTTCCAGGCCTCCACATTCAGTGAATCTCAGCCTTCCACCTTTGCTTTATGGTGACGGTTACTTGGCTTAATCAATACAGCAGCGAGTTTTATGTGCTAGTAAATTACAAATATTAAACTGTTAATATTTATTTGTTATTACATTATAAAGTGGGAGTGAATGTTCGTGTTATTTACGTGTAAATGTAATATAAACGTGATAATTTAGCATTACCTAATTACTGTATTTTGTCAATATTCCAGACTTCCCCTATGAGCAGAAAGACTCCCCCCCCCCCTCCAAATTAATCCAGCTGCAAGATGTTTTTACTGCGTTTCTAAGGTCCCTTCCATTGATAGGTAGTGCACCTTCTCACATGGCTTGCCATTGGATTTGTAATTCCCCGAGGGCACCGTTACATGACAATCATTTGTTATTGTCCACACAGATGGAATTTAGTTCAGTAGTTGTGAACCTGTGAGTGCCCCCCCCCCTTCCAGGGGAGTGTGAAAGTGGGGGCTGGGCTATTTTTTTTTGGGTGGGGGGCATACCAAAAAGGTTGAGAACCACTCATGCAGCTAAATAATATTACTGCACTTGAGAAGACATTTAAGCACAGGTGGCAGAGTGTCCTGTGCCGCCCAGGTACCGAGACAAAGTACCCCAAAACAATGTCTTTAAACATAAGTGATAAATGTTTATTTCAAATAATGTATAGCCCTGTGCCAATCCACTGCTGGATGAAGGCGTGCCCATGCCATGTTGGTCATATGGGCTGTTTGACCATACTTCACCATGCCTGTCAGTGCGGGATGGTGAAGGGGGCAGGGATTCAGGACCGATTCACAGTTGGTGAACCAATGCACCACTATCCCAACATAAATTATATTGTAGCACAAAATAAAGAGGTAAAAAAAGTGGAAGGGTTCAGCCCTACAACTGCCTGCTCATGCCACTGCTCGCAGAAGGACCTCCACTAAGGGGCCTTCGAGGGAGCCCCACGAGAGGGAACTTTGGTTTCCTCTTCTATGCTTGCCATACGCTATTGTAGAGCAGGGGTGGGGAACCTTCTTTCTGCCAAGGGCCATTTGGATATTTATAACATCATTCGCGGGCCATACAAAATTATAAACTAAAAAATTACCCTGTTATATCTGGTCAAACATTTAATTAACTCACCCCTAATGCGATGGCTGGAACTGGTTCTCTTTGGTGAGGCGTGTGATGATGTTAGCTGGTATTGATGATGTTCGCTGGTATTGACGATGTTGCTACTCGCAACTGCTTTTCCAGGTTTGCTCCTAGATTTATTGAATTTCGAGTCCCGCCTGCGGTTGCCTTGGCAGGGCCAGAGACCAAATTATTTTGCGGGCCTCATGCGGCCCGCGGGCCGGACGTAGAGGATGCCGTACCCACACTTTACCTCATCACACGCGTCCTGCCAATTGACTGTGGTGGTGGACCCATTGATTACAGCATCCATCCAGCAGTCTTATATATGTTAACGCCGTTTTAGCAGAACCGAGTATAACAGTGACCGCGAGTCAGTGCTCGAAATTCCATATTGCGATGGCAAGGGCTAATCCTGTTGATCAAAATGGGGAATATTTTATCACTCAACAGAAAATTGTAAAATATCATTGCAGTATTATTACATTACATTTTGTGTATCAAGATATAACTAAATTGTGTTTGATGCAAACCTTGATTCAAATGTATTCGATGGTAGTGAACTATAAATCAACCGAGTGATTAATTCGCGATGCCAATTAAGCGGACGTCCGTGTCACCGCCGATTATTGCGGCAAATTGACATTGCCAGGCCGATTAATCGAGCATCCGAGCACTCCCCGCGATTAATCGACTGCCGAGCCCTCACGCTCGGGGTGATCCATCGAGCAACTTGGCTTGCCCAGAACGATTAATCGACAGTCAGCCGAGTTCATGAAACTGCAGAGTCCAGCACATTCAGGTCAATTAATCGAGTTATCGAGTCAAAGCAACTCAGGTTTCAATAAATAAAAAGCCGAGTTTCTTTAATACCCAACCAGATTAAATCGAGCCACCGAGCTGGTCAGAGTAACCACCAATTGTGCATCTAAAGCCGCCCACGGTGGCTGCTTTTAACTCCGAGTGGAACTGCCCTCTCCGTGTGTGGCTTGTAACGCCATACAAGGGAGGGTGGGGGAGAAGAAATTACACGAGTCGTGTTGTGAAAACCGGCCTTAACGTTTCTGAAATCGGCCAGTCCTTAAGCCCATTTGTGATGCACTTGTCCCGAATTTGACCAATTTTTCTCTGTTTACAATTTTCATGCTGCCAATGACTCGGAAACACAAAATGTGTGCCTCGTAGTGGCTTGGTCGTGATTACTGGAGAAGATTTGAGTAGTCCTTCTTCAACCTCATTGAGACCAGGATCCAGTTTCATAAAAATAAACCTGAAGTGTTAACATTCCCCTTTGCATTGACTCAGAGGAAACTAAAGGCTACGTGGATCCACAAGGGCAATGTTCTAGGAAATCGTCAGAAAACATCGCCAGTAATTATCCATTAATCATTAGCAACTTGGTGGGCAACGGAATAAAGTGAAAGAGTTCTGAGCCAATCAAAGCAGACTTTGTTGAAGAGTGCGTTTTGCTCAATGACTGGTCTACATACTGTAAACTAATCTGCAGACATTAATCTGCTGAAATCGCTCAAGAGCCCATCATGATCCATAACAGTATTATTACGTGATAATATCAAACTGTCATACATTCGCTTCCAGATCCCACTCATATACTCAACTGAAGCCTCTTGTTTGTGATCTGATTGGAAGCTGCTGTCCCAATTGACGAAGAAGGGGGGGAGCTGCAGTCAGCTTTGTTTAGATTTTACAGCAACTACGTTTTTACAAAGAGAAATGCCGTGGTAACCATTGCCGCCTCTGATTGCTGGTAATTATTTCTCTAAACTACCACCCATGGATTATTGCCTGAAAGGGAAATGTTAAAGCTCTTAAAGCCATTTTATGCAACCAGTGATGGATTAACTGACCAATTGGCTTCCATAAATTATTCGATGCTCCCTTTGCAGCTCCAGTCGATTAATCGATTGTCAGAGTGGGGCCGGGGCGAGGAAGCGATGGCCGGGCGAGGCCGCACCTTTGAGTCCCCGCCCCCGCTCCCGCACTCGCCCTTATCAAACCACCACTTGTTCTTTAGTTTGTCCAGGAGGCCCTGCTCGTTGAGCTTTAGCACAGCCAGGTTCACGGCACTCCTTGAGCCACCGCGCGGCAGGGAGACAATAATAATCATCATCACCATCATCATTACTCATGGCCGAACGATGTGGCCATCATCATGAGCATCATCAATCATCAGACTGAACACGGTTATTGTCATACACATCGTCTTCATCACCACATTTCATCGGTACACGAACATGATTGTAAATCCAAGTGTGGTTTTCCAGGTTGGGCTGTGGCCTGTTGAACCACGCACTATCATGGGCATCTAATTCAGCTCGTGGTAAATTCCTGCAGTGAATGATGAAATTAAATTTACATGAAGACGCACTTTCTCTTCGATTTATTTTTCTTCTTCTTGCACAAGTCTTTGCTCATGCGGTCCTTGTACTTCCGGATCTTACCGTGCAATCCAACCCTGAAAACCACACTTGAATTATGAGCAGCTACGAAAACTTACTTTTGTTGAAATGACCGTGAATATCATAATCGTCACTGCCAGTAAGTAATATAATTAACGTGTCCTGTACGACCATCAGTCATCATCCCTTTCAGTGATGCGTGCTGCCCAAGCCCACTAACTTTTTTTAACAGACACCTTGTGCTCCATGTTGTTTGTCAGTCCACGTGTTTCAGATACATTTCATGACCAGCAATATCCACTAATTGAAAACATTATTTCGTCAAATGTATGTCTGTAGAACTTCTTTCCCACTGTACATAGCCAACCGTGCTAATCGAAGGTTGTACATAGAACAGGATACCTGATGCAGGAAGTGATGAAAAGGAAACAGGCACTATTTGGACACATCTGTAGGATGGACAACAACAGGATCATTCAAAATGTGTTGTTCGGAAAAATTGAAGGAACCGGAAAGAGAGGAAGACCTAACAGAGAATGACTTGACGACAGAAGAGGTTGGTGCCAGAAAGATGCGCACTACTTGAGCATATTGGCACAAGATAGCGGAAAGTGGAATCAAATGATGAAATTTGCAGTGGACACCTATGGGCTATCTGCCCATGGATCGTGATGATAATAATGCTGTTTCTTTGCGAACTCCGTTTACCAAGAATGTATCCTGAGCACTATAAGAGATATGTCTGTAGTTCATTGCCATTCCTTGTTTTAAAGACTCATTTGGCCAGCGAATAGGAGATGGGTTAATGCTTTAAACATTTATCATTTATTAACTTTTCTTTCCGCCATACAGTATCAAAATAGGCGATAATTTCAATGAATGCTGCAGCTGTTTTAATTATTTATGTTGGAATCCTGTTATTACGGAGCTTGTCAGTGTCAACACCTGGCCACAGCAGTTATGGCCGTTTGTGAATCCCTGCCTGCTGCTTGCTGCTTGAGGATCACAGGATTGAGTATTGGCCTGATTCTCTCCTGAAGAAGCTGCTCCATGAGCTTTAACCGAATGCTAAAAAAAATGGTTACAAATCAAGTTCTCCAAGTTTATTTTTTTAACCTGTTGAACCATGTACTCAAGAGACCAGGATAAATGTAATTTGTAAGTGTGACTTGGGGAATGTTTTCCAGTTGCGAGTAATGTTTTTTTAAATAGATCAACCAAGTATTTTAAACAAATGCAATATACAAACTCTTTAATTATAACCTAATTGTGCTGCTGGAGTCATACCAATGTGACTCGGCCTTCATAAATTCTTACAATCAGCATTGCACCATCGCATTAGAGAACTCTCTTCACTCGATCTTGTATGTAACACTGGAAAGTGAGATTGCCACATGTTTCATGATGCGTTACAATATTACATTCCACAATGTTATCCGTTTTGCCTAATTTTGTAATTTTATTTCATATTTTCCTTGTATTGTGTTTGTTTACTTCAAAGTTATTCAAATGCAGTTCATTTAACATAAGCTGGCACAAACCTTTTAATAATTTGCAACTTTATAATCTATGTTTATAACATACATGCTATCAGAAAATGATGCAGTCATATAATCAATACACCATTAATTACTCCAACTTTTTTTTACGAAACACTAATTTAATAGTCAAATGCTATTTATTTTTGCTTTAATTACTCCTCTGAACTTTGATCATTTTAATTTAATAAAAATGTTCACGAAATGAAATAAACATTGAATGAGCTACGGTAATGACAACATGACAGCAGTTAGCCACACGGATATCATTATCGTGGATTGCACATTGTATGATGTATCTTAGTATCGTGGTAACTCTACAGGATTGATGCTTCTTCCAACTGATATTCTATTTTTTCATCAAGAACTGCACAAAGGTCCATTGCATACACTTTCTTTTAAGCTGCACTTCATCTTTGCCAGCCTTGTGGAATTGTAAATGAATACACTATCCGATGACTGACATTCGGTAAACCACTCTTGGCCTGCCGTGGACTTCGATCTAATGTTGGGTGACAGTACGCGATTGAAGTGCCATGGATTTAAGCAATGTGGATATGTCACCTTCCGAGGCCATTCTCTGACACGACAATGTGAATCCCTGCCACCTATGAAGTTCTTGAAGGAAGTTTATTCATCCCCTGATTTCACTGACAGAACTATGAGGATAAATTTCGATTTAAAGCTTTCGTGACTGCAATGATTCATCTTCTTTGGTTCTTTCGGTATTATTTTATTCTCATTCTACGTGACTTTACCGAAAGAACCAAAGAAGAACTATGAGGATAATATAGACTCTTTGTTAATTGCAACAAGTGTGCAAGTAAATTAAAGTGAATGTGGGAAATAAATTGGTTCAAATGGTGACACTGGGGGGGGGAGGTGGGGCAAACAGAGTGTAGGGAAGGATTGGTCTGCTAAATTAGAAAGAGGGTGAGGAATGGGCCGAGTTCAGGGAGACAGTGCTGGCTGCTGAACGAGACAATGGTTTCACAGAAACACAAGAACATGTGTGCCGTTAATTATGGCAAGATTAACTGAAGCATAGTTAATGATTTGTCTGCTCTGCTGTTCATGTTAAAATCCAAAACCCTGAAACAATGCAATTGCTAAACAATCCAATGGGAGTTAGGTGGGGGGGGGGGTTATTGTAGGACACAGGAGTGCAGGTCTCACCGGAGGAACGATCGCTTCGGGGTGCCGATTCCATAGCCCTTGGAGTCGAGGTTGCCGCCAACCTTCATGGTGTCGCACGGCTTGCGCTGCTCGATGTACTCATTGGTCGTGGACTCGAGCAGGTACGCGTACTTGCCCTTAGATCTGCGCACACGCGCCACCCCCTCCCCGGTCTTCTTCACAAAAACGGACGGCTCCGCAGCGCGCATGTAGTGCCACATTGTCTCGTACACAGAAATCTTGGAGCGCTGGTGAAAGGGAGCGTAGGTGGAGTGGGAGGGGAATGAGAAGAAAGGTGGTGGATCTCTTTTATTATTTGTTTGCATGTTTTATTTTAATCTCTAATTAGAGTCCAACTGCACTATCATTGTCCCATTACAGAGACGAAGATATTTCCACGCAGAACTGTGACAGCGAGCAGCGCACGTTTCACCTTGTGTGTCAAAAAATTGTCCCACAGCAGATGACATCCTAGCACGACTCTTGGTCTCCAATCTCACCCCGAAGAACTCCTTAGTGGAGCCAGAGTCGAGGGTTCCGTACGAGATCTCCGACTGCTTGGCCAGGTCATCAGCGCTCTCGATGGGCGACACCATGCGCTCAACAGTCAGGAAGGCTGCCAGGTTGGCCGTGTACGACGAGATGATGATGAGTGTGAAGAACCACCAGACGCCACCCACGATGCGGCCAGACAGGGATCTGCACGCACACGTGAACAAAAATCTATACACACGTCGCTCTGCAACACCTCGATGCAGAAACATGGACACATTCGGGCTGGTGGTGGCACACACCTGTAATTCAGCACTGTGGGGGTGAGGGTTGGTGGATTGCACAAATGTTGTCAAACTCACTTTCCCGTGGGCATCGAGGTGCTATACCCTGGCTCGCTAGAAGGCAGCAGTGCAAATATGTTCCTTCTGTATAGGATAGTGGATTCACCCCCCACCCCTCACGCACGAGTTGTTTTTTTTTCCTCCCACGTGGAAACAGCTCATTGATTGGCCGAAAACACCTTAATATAGAGGATTGCGGGGCTTGGGGAATTGGCACCATCTCACCGCATTGGCTGCCTTCCCACTTGTCTGTGGTTCCTCGCGCCGACAAGTCGTCCGCTATCTTAAAGAGGAAATACTGTGCGTGTTATAAGTAATATATTATTAAAGTGATATATTACTGTAATTTGTGTTATTAAAATGCAGTTTCATTATTAATCTCACGTAAAAATAAATTATGATTATTGGTTTGAATAATCCCAAAATGATGAGGGGGGCATTATCCATAATTTTTTTACTGCAAGGTCTCCCGTCATATAAAATGTGGACCACCAGACAGGGCAAGCAGCAGCCAACACGTTCAAAGCTGGAGGTGTCTTATTCGCGAATGGAACCCGGTGGTTAATTATTGAGATCACAGTCTGGATGCACAAACTTTGTCATAGATCAGAGGGATGCCACTAAACAATAACTGTGTTTAAACTACACAACTACTGGCTAATGACTCCGCACTAAGCCTACTGGTGTTCATGTGCTACTGTGCACGTTCCATCATTATAATCAGTATTTACATTACCTTTCTGAAGAGGGGGAAAACACAGACACAACAAATACCCCGAATTCCGCCAAAAAAATGTTTTGGACGTTTTTTAGTCATATCTAAGAGTTCTGGGAACGTCTGGACACCTAGTGGCTGGCCCCTTCGAACCCTGTGGGACCTCTTCTGTGATGACATGTACTGCAGCCTGCACACAATGACCGCCCTTCCTTCCAACAGTTCCTTGGGGCGGTCATTCCTGGCCTGCACGTTCCTCAGTGCTCAGGCTCCATCCAGATCGTTATTTAAACCTCAACAGCTGACGCATGAGCCAGCCACTTTCCCTAACCTGAGGCTCTGCAACTGTCACTGGGTCAGCCCTGCCTTGGTTATCATGCTGCAATTTCAGCTGAGGAATTCCCCCAAACTTAAAAATACTCATCTGCACACAAAGTCAAAGATCACCTGTATAGCCTTTATAAAGGCTGTTGAGGCAAGTTCTGTTAACGAGCAAATTAAATCAACGTAAACTGAAAAGGCCAGTATGGCACACAAAGGGTCAATGGCCAGCACCACACCTTGCCACCTTTGTCTCCCTTGTGGCAATATTTACATACTGCACCGGGTACTCATTTCAGGCCGAGTCGACCTAGGAGAGGCCCAGAACGGTTTCCGATATTCGTCACTGGTGGTCATGAGCAGGATTAGGATTGAGGTCACTGGGCAATAGCGCAGTGCGCTAACCATCACACCACTGCATCTAACCACTACGCACACACATGCACTTAGTCATCTCACCGGGGCGAAATGTCACAGCCCTGCTGCATGAAGGCCCCCAGGGAGAACCACAAGCTGTTGAGGATGCTGAAGTCGTTAGGCTCGGGGGGACCTTCGGGCCCAAGTGGTGGAGGAGGCGGGAGTTCCCCGGGCCCCGCGGCTGCCTTCTGCCACTCGTAGGGGCTGAAACGGCTGACGAGGAAGAGCACAACGCTCACGCCGATATAGGCGAACACGATGCACATCCAGATTTCGTAGGCCAGTGGGTCGAGGAACGAAAACACCCCAGGCTTAGACTTCTGCGGCTTCTTGATCATGATGGAGATCCCCAGGCTCATGAACGGCTTGGAGAAGTCGATGACCTCCTCGCGCACCAGCGAGATGGTCAGCGGGGCAATGGCGATGTCTGCCTTCTGTCAGAGTGTGTGGCGGCGGTGATGTGGTTTTATGGTGTGGATGGTGAGATGTGAAGGTGATCATAATGATGGATGATGAGATGGTTTGTGAGGTTGTGGGACGATGAGGTAATAGGTATGATGAGTGGCAAAGTGTTGGGGTAGAGTGGTGATATAAATGGCAATGAGGTGTAAAAGTGAAGGGTTGATGAGGTTAATATGAGATGAATGGGGTGGAGAGATGGTGTGGCAAGGTGGTAGGATAATGGATTTAGTGATAGGTTACAAAGGTGATCGATAGATAGAGTGGTCAGGTGAATGATGATGATGGAGTGTTGTTGACAGAGAAGCAGGTGAATCGTGATAGATGTTTACGTGATGGAATGAGAAAGTGGGGTGGTAAGATGATCGTGAGGTTCATGAGGTGAGGGATTAAAGAAGTGGTGAAGGAGATGAGTGCTGCAATTGTCGTGAGATGGTTCGATAATGGGATGTATTTATGAAGATGTGCATGGGGTGGTTTATGAGTTCGGTGACATGACGGGTTTGGAGGCGATCAATGATTAAATTAGAGTGGGGTAGACATAGTGAGCAGGCGAGCAGGAAGGCATAGCCAAATGTGTGGACATGACAATGTAATCAGTGGTTGAATGATCAATGACGTAAAGGGGAAGTCATCATAAGGTTAGAGTTATCTATTGCACACAACACATGTTCAACAATACACACCTAGATAAAACATATTTAGGGGACAGTCTTATGGGAACAACCCCACAATGCATCACAACCCATACTTCTGTGGACACACTTAAATCTACTGTTTGTTCTGCATGCTGTGCATTATCCTGTGCCATGAATGTGTGTCACTATTGTTTGAATTAACAAATGGCGCCATAATCATAAGTGATCCTTGCGCTGTAAATGACACGTTCTGGTTTTGTGAATGAGTGCCATCCATGAATAAAGTGTTCTCTCATTGTAAACGAAAATTTCGCTCATTGGCAATGAACAACACATTGTATATTTGTGAATGAGCATCGCGTGTGATCGAGGATCCCCCTCGTCGTGACAAGGGCGATATTCTTTTCGTGACTGGTGCGTCCCCATGTCTGGAAGGGGTCGAGCGATGACATATCTGCCGTACCCCGTACACCAGCTCGCCAACCATGCCATTCCAGATCTTGGTTTCAGTGTCGCGGGACCCATAGGCGCCATCCGGCACGAGTTTCCAGCGGTAGTTGAAGCCGACGTGACGCGCGATCTCCTCACCCAGGTCCGCGCAGTAGCCCTCGAAGCGATCGTTACCCGTCAACTGCTCGTAGTTCTTGCGGTACATGAAGTACGGGGCGTCCTGTGTGCATTAGTGTATGTGATTGTGTGGTGGGTGTGTAAACATAACATCAGCACTGGGGAGAAAAAGGCGGCCGAGCGTGATGCTAGCCACCCACCCCCTCGTGTGCCGTGCTGGTCTTCATTAGGTACAAGCAAATAGCACTTGCCCCAACAGGCTGTTAAAGGCTATGCGGGGGTCATTTGCATTTGAGAATGTGTATGCGAATAAGCGTAGAGTTGGCATGTTTAAATGCGAGTGTGATCATTATGTACGCATTTGGATGTAACGTAAAAAATATACATGTAATTTTTAAACGGACTGTTTAGAGAAGACGCTTTAGAAATACGACTTTATTTGTTTTCGAACTGATATTTATGACCCCACGGCATTTGCTAGATTTATTTAACAAATGTTTGTTTTCCAACCCAGTCTCCAATAAGCTTTAGTGTAAATGTGTTTTCTTTAAGTTATGTTGGATGCCTATAATTTGGGAGCTCACCCATCATCTGCTACAATTCCTAAATATGTGAATGCAGCTGGTAAAATATATTAAACTGTACTTAATGTTTACATATTAAAGTATAACTCATTTAGAGACATCACCAAAGCCCTGGCCCTCAGACTAGACTCCATACTACAGGACATCATCGACCACGACCAAGCGGGGTTTATAAAAAGGTAAACACTCGTCCGATTGTCCTAATTAGATGGACCCAAAACTCAAAACAACCGGCCTTCGCCCTCTCCATTAACAGCGAAAAAATCCTTTGACAGTAGAATGGAGCTTTTCTATTCCGTGTCATGATTCTCATGAATTTCCGGCAAATCTTTTATATATCTTTGCTCACTCCTATATAAATCCCCTCTGGAAACTGCTCGTACAAGAGATCTAATCTCCCTCCCCCTTCCCACTGGAAAGGGGCTCCCGTTAGGGATGTCCACTTTCCCCCTCCTTATATTCATGAGCTATAGAACCATGAGCAATTGTGATTCGCTCCTTCACTGACCTGACAGGTATCATGCACCCTACTGGTAGGGAAACTCGGACTTCGCTCTATGCAGACGATGTCTGCATTTTCTCAAAGACCCAGCCTGTTTCTTCCCACAGCTCTTGCATGACGTCATTACTCCTCTTGTCATCTCCCCATTGTCACTTGACGTCATCACTTCCTCTCCTCCCCTCAACACTCCGCGTTTCTTGACTGAATTACTCCCTTGCCTCCACCTTATCCGAGTAGCGTGACATCACCCCAATCATCACAACCTCACCCCATTCTCGCGTGACGTCAATACTCCTCCCAACACCCCAGGATCTCTGACGTCATGAACCTCTCAGCCCAATCTCATGTGACACCATGCCAGTGCGTTACAGAGATACACACGCAAGCGCGCACGAACAAGTGTATTATTATATAGATTGAGTAACAGACAAACCCGCTCAATGTAAATGATTTACTAAATAAACTAATTTATGTTTGGTTCATCTAGAGTCTAGACCAACAACAAAAACTTGGACCACCATAATTATCATTCTATTCTGTTAACTTTTAGAGAAATGCAGAATACTATTGTTTTGAAACAAATATCAAAATTATTACCGTGAGAAGGCCTGCATCAACACAGATTAATGCATTATGAATCTAATAATAATTTTTTTTGCCCATTAGTAAGTTAGATGATAGTTATCTAAAAATGTTTACGTGAGGCTGATGATCGGGACAAACAATAGGTAGACGGCAAAATGACACAAAAGGATTAAATTATGGAATCGATCTGGAACCCAGGTGACAATTTCTCACACCATTGGTGACCTGGGTGAATCATTTATAGGCCCAAAAATAAGGCTGCAACGAGGCTCACTTTGCGGAGCGAGAGGCGACAAATCCTGGTAGAGCGTTACAACCCCAACATCCCAACTCTGTCCTATCATCCCACCGAAGGAATGTGCAATGTGCCTCGATGATTCAGTGGCATCATAGTTGAAGACGGTGGCCCAATTAAATTGATCTTTCACTCGTGTACGTTCGTGCTCCTCAGTGATGATTCTTGCAGCACATGATGGTGAACGACCCCAGGTATGTAGCATTGGAAAGTTCCTTCTTACACAATGACACAAAGGGCATTTGCTCTGTGGGGTTTTGCCTCTCTTAAAGTCCGATATGAAATATTGATGTGATAATCATGATCCCAAACAACAACAGTCAGCGCACAAGTCCCCAATGTAAACCAGGGTTAGCAACTGAAAAAGCAGATGCATCCATGACAATAATAATAAATAAACATAAAATATAAATGAATGTGTACTTACGACAAGGCGCGGATGAAAAAACTAAAATAAAGGCAGATGCTGTGGTAAACGTAACTAAAGCTTGTGGGATGGCGGCACAATCGGTGACGCTGTCTGCAGTCAGGGGACAATGAGTAAAGGAACAGAGGGGGGAAGAGAGGGAGAGAGAGTCATTGTAGAGATGGAGCGAGAGCAAGAGAGAGGGAGGGGGTAAGAGGGAACGGGAGAGAGAAGAGCAAGAATATAGAAATGAAGCAAGAGAGATAATGAAGACACAGGAAGATATCTGAAGGGATAGAGAAAAGGTGAGAGAGAGACGAGAGATCAATGAGCAAGGATTGTATAGAAAGTGAGTGACAGAGAGAAACAGAAGAGAGGGGGGATAAGAATGGATGAGAGAAACGAATGCAGAAAGGGGGAGACGTATTTAAGTAGAGAACAGAAGAGAGAGTGTCAGTAAGGGACATTTACAGAAAGACAGGGACATAACGGAAGAGCTGAAGATAGAATGAGGGAGAGAAGGGGAGGGCGGTGCAGGGAAGACAGTGCAAGAGAGAGGGATATTTGTAGATTAGAGGAGACAGTGATCTAATTGTGTACAGAGCTGGACCAGAGAGACATAGCAAGATGGAGGGACATTCAGAGAAGCAGAGGGAGAAGGAATTTACCAATGGATGAAAATATTGAACGCAAGAAAAAGAGACAAAAAAGAGACAATAGAATATATAGAGAGACACGGTGAGAAGGGAGATAGAGATGCATGCGCGCACAGGGAGAGAGAAGTGAGGGGCCGATTCATGCTATGCTGTTTCACCATATGCATCAACATCTCAAACATCACTTCAACATCACATCCATCTGTCACATCAAGAGCAACTCTAAGCCCACGTGCTCTAAAACCATTGCAGAGATTTGTTCCACATCTACAATAATAACCACCATAATTAAAATCTGTACCCAGCAAAGCTTTACCGAGTCTCAAGACTTTGTTTTCAATGCCAAGGTTCTACTGGGGATACTCTGCAATTTCCTTTTGAAGTAAAATTAAAAACTCTGCATGGGCTGGAACCTACACGTCTAATGAAAACCAACAAATATGTCCTCAGGGAGCAATCTCTCACGAGCTGGTGCACATAGAAGCTGCCCGAAACCTCACATCTGCACTGCACCGTGAGGACAATGCATCACAGCCAAGAATCCAACCATGTCATCATCGTTATTCTTACTTGCTTCCAGGGGATTCACAACCCTCATCACTTTCTGATCCATCGACCCAAACCTTGCATCGCAAGGTTATACAAAAATGCAAACATGTGAATGTGTGTAGTGATAAATCATGTAGTGGCCAGAGGACATCCATGTCACACACCCAAATTAAACAGGAATTGGCTATATCTCCAAACCACACAGCTTTAGCGGGACCTGCCCACCATGATGAAAAGCCTTAACGATCTTGAGAAGAGGATCAGGGACCCTGAAAGCACAACGACTAACCCAAAGCCCTTGCATTGTAGAACTTTACCAAGGCAATGAGGCAGAAATTGTGCTCGATTGAAATTCCCTACACCTCAACTTGAATTCAAATCTATCACTTTAACGAACATCTTGAGCAATCACGCATATTTACGAAGGGCTAGCTTGTTTTGTTTCAGCTAGGAGCAGCCGCCTCTGTAAAATAGTACTTTAATTGTATGTTAAATAATATGCATTTTACGAACTTTAAAATGTGGGTCTGGTGCCACTAGTCGTGGACCAATTTCAGACCAAACCCATGACATTTTTTGGATATAACTCATACATTTGCCCAAATTGGGCTCAAGGTGGCTCAAAATTATTTTAAAATATCGAAACATTCTTTAAATGATTAGTGAAAGCACAATGCATATTACACATGCTACATGGTAGAATATGTTTTAAAATGCAAACAAAACTAATCATGTTTTTTCTTTGGATTATGCATGGCAGCATTGATGAGAGCCCAGAATTACTGGTTGTCTAGTGCGTATTATACACCAGCATTAACATCACTAATCATCGAACCAGATACTGTGAAATAAACAGTCGTCTCTATTTGAGTAAAACTTACCCCAACGCCCTGATTTTTCCATCACCGGTAAAACTCCCCGATCATTGTGGAGCTATAAATTCCATTTTAACCCATGCAAAGTACAGCAATCCCTCGCCAACCGCAAAATTCATGTAGACACTGTTTATTATCTGCATGCCAATTTTCCAAAAGCGACCTGAAAATTTTGAGTATCCACGTTGTAAGCACGGGTCCGCAAAACGCATTTACAAATTTTGCAGGGCCGCGATTCTCCTCCGTGCCACCGCGCCACCAGTGGCGCTGTGTAGCTTATCAGCTGTCCCTCAAAGTGAAATACACGTGATGGGTTTGCAAAGTAAAGTATTAGATAGGCTTGTACGTGGTGAGAGTATTGTGTCTGTGGGGCGAGTCTTTGGGGTTAATGAGTCTACCATTAGAACCATAAAAAAGTGATGTTGTGATTAGTCCTCCTCCTTCCAACCATCCCTTCCCCCATCATGTCATTGTCATCATCAGTCATAATAATGGACTTCTACCCTCAATATTAAAGGTATGTAAAGTTAAAGCAATGTTTATTTATGCTTTATTATATTATTGTGTAACGTACTGTGTTTTATTCGTGTTTAGTGAAGAAACAGGGAACTTAGTTATACTATGACGAGTCTGGCCATGGACGTGGTTCCTCTAACCCCCTATTTCCCATGGGCCCTGTACTTTACCAACCTAACCCCCGCGGTCGGTAAGGGATTGCTGTATATTTTAAAATCGTTTTACCAAAATAAAATGATAAATGCATGCAATTTTTAATTCATGTTGTCCTAAATATCCATTGCAAAGAAGCCTTAGAGAAGCAGTGAGTCGATGCATATTCACATTCCTAATGCCCAAGAGGTAAGCACTATTTTTTTTAGTTGTGCCACCCCTTTAAAACTGGATATGGACAAGTAGGTTTAGCCTGATGATGGCTTCAGGGCAAGGATTTGAGGCATGAACAGATAGGGTAGGGAAGCAGCCTTGCTGCTGGGGGGCGGGGTTCATACCAGGATCGTAGTTACGATGACCGTTTTGTTTTGATGTAGAGAGCTATTTATTCCATCTTCCCCGAGTCCTGTCATCACCAGGTGCTTGGTGTCTGACCAGTATCCCACCTGGGTGCACACACATACAGAATAAAATGCACACATGTAAAAAGAAACAAGAGTTCCCCGTGGAGCCTTTTGTGGCAAGTGCTGTTACAGCGAGCACCTATGAAGGTTGACGACACGGCACAATAGCGGAGAGGTTGCCATCACCATGTCCGGCCACCTTTGTCTCCGAAATGCTGATCTTTACACACCACACAAGGTAATCATATACGGATGAGTTAACATAGGGGAGGCTCAGCACCAGTTTAAATATGTTCCAGTTATTGGTCGTGAATGAGAATTATTCTTCTTTCATATGGCTGAAATAGATACATCAGCCATTCAAGTGGTCAAGCCAGACAACCACATCAGGAGCAGCTGAGTGTATCGCTGTAATGTGTCCTTTATATTTGTGGTTCAGGCATTGCATCATTATTTATTGTATGGTCTGTTCTGCATGACCACTGTCACACACTGGAGAGATTTTTATTTTCCATTTGTGCATCAGATATCCGCATCTGCTATAGTTTGTGCAGAAGATCAAAACCAAGGATCTTCTGCTGTGGGTCTTTCACAAGGTGCTTGTTTGTGAGTTCTGTTGAATTTTCTGTCGTTTTCCAAACTTTATTTGGGTTGAACTCGCATTGTTCAAGGTTAAGCACATGGGTCCAAAAGGGTGACTTCAAGCGATGACGAGGGACATTATTGAAGTCCTGATGAATGAGTAGGGGGAGAGATGAGTGACAGTACGGGCAACCAGGGTGTTGGGGTCGACTTGAGGATTTAGTCGGACACCAATAAGTCGAGTGTGACAACTTCTGGTCCATACTGGTGCACAGTACTTGGCTACAGAGTACACAAGGGCCATCATTGATGTCCGTAAAACTGGTGCTGATGCTCCCCAGTTTGTGCTTACCAGTTTCTGGACTAGCTTGACCCTTGTTTTGGTCTTGGCTACTACCTTTTTCAGGTGCTCATCAAAGGTTCACGACGAGATAGGTTGGAGTGGGGGTCATGTCGCACAGTGTTGACGCAGAATGTCCCTTTCAGAGTGTGCTTGGCACTCCTATTAATTATCAAGAGGAAATGCAGTGACTGATGTTTTGAGGGGATTTGGCATGAGTCTACATTTCCGGAAATATTCCCCCATGGTGTTTAGGTCTTGGTTCAGAGTGGATTCGATGTCATTGAAAGTGGCTGCTTGTGCTGCCAAGGTCATCCGCATATACAAATTTACATGACCTGGTTGGCGGAATGTCGCTCGTGTAGACATTGAAGAGTGTTTGTGTGACTACTGAACCTTGTGGCAATCCATTCTTGAGGAACCAGAGCGAGCTGGCTTTGTCACCCATATCGACATGCAATCGCCGATTGCTCAGCATCATCCATATCAGGCGTATTGTTTTGAAAGAACGAATGGTCCTTGCGAACTAAAATATCAAGTCCTTAATCCAGACTGTGTCGTAGGCCGATGAGAAGTCGACAAAAGGCTGCGCCGGTCTTCGATTTCTTCTGGAATCCGGCCTCAATGTCCGTCGCAAGGACCCAAACCTCTGTCACAGCAGTTGCATCAAGGCTGGAATCCCACTTGTTTTTCAGGGATAACTGAATCGATGAGAGGGCTTATTCTCTGAATTATGCTTTCAAGGAGTTTCTAGGTTGTGCATTGCTTCCCGGGTCGTTGGTTGGCTTGCCCGGCTTGGATATTACAATGATCATTGCCTCCCGCTATGTTTTTGGGATGCATCCAGTTTTCATTGTTTTGGTGTACCGTTTTTCCAGCCATTAGAGTCCCCCTCCCTCGGGCTACCATCTCTGCCGGCAGCCCTCCCTTTCTTCATTGCAGCCAGTGCCTCCCTCACTTCCTCTGTGCTGATGACGATGGGATCTTGTGAAGAAATTGAGGCCATTGTCTGATGTATTTGGCGATGAATCTCTTGCTTGATGTGTTTGTGAAGCGGTCCTTTTGTACTAGTTTAGAGGCTGTAGAGTTGGGCAGGGCTCTTGCGGTCTGGTATTGTTGGATTAGCAGCACCCACATGTTGTAGTAGGACCCAGGCATGGTGGCTGGAGTGTGTGAAGCCCAGGCCTTCAACTCACTAAATCCACCGTTGACGTCTGGCTTAGTCTAAAGACTCTAGCAGGGCCTCTGCAACCTGTGGGCTGCCCAACTGGTTGTACTGTCAGAGCAGATCCTGGGTTTCTTATGTTCAGCAGGGAGTGTATTCTGTTAGTTGTGGCCAGGTATCAAACTCTGGGCCGCTGGTTTTTTAGTGGAGCATATTAATCACTGTCTACCACTCCTCACAAGAAATATATGTTTATGGCCCCACGTTCAATTGGTGAACTCCTTGTGAGATGACAGAAGAGATATGGACATGAGATGTAGATACATTGAGATGAGAGAATGTATTCAAGAACAGAGATTTGGTGCATAAGTTTCTATATACATACTTTTGCATTCGATTTTGTGGGAAGGATGAATTCATTTTCGTGCATGCAGACAAGTAGGCAATTAAACACAAGCAACCACAATGATCAAGAACAAGTTAGTGAGACGCCTATCTTCGCGTATGAACCAAGATCATTGGAGTTGATGGCTAAGTGTCCCAACATTGCCATCGTGAGTCACTGGAGTGAGGCAGCCCTTGGCGGCCATACCTTTGTGGGTCCGGTGGGCCTCAGCTCCATGACTCCAAGAGTGTAATTCGACCTCTGACCCAGCTCATTAAACTGGATATTGTTCGTGAGGCCATTGATATGAACCTGCACAGACGTGAGGGCACACGCACACATGTAACACAACCGTTGTAGTAGCCAGACAGACCATTAGAGCATTGTGATGTTTGTGCACCATGGAAAAACGGTTGATGCGGCCAACACTATGCTCAGCCACCTGGGATTTCCTAGCGCTGATGTTTACGTACCCTCAGTAAGGAAGAGGTTCCACCACTTAAAAACTATGACTAGTACTCTTATATAAGCGCACAACTTTATCTACCTGTGATGAATGCTGCATTTTCCGTCGTTTTTATGCAGGGGGCGCTGCAAACCTAAGCGCCCCCTGCATGAACAACAGAAGAGCAGGGACAGACGTTCGATTACGTTGGACTCGATCTGCAGACGGCGGTCTTCTCGCACGGCCAGCTCTAAGTCGCCCTATCTCGATCCCGCAATCCCAAACAGGTGAAAGTCCGCATCGAACCCGAACCCCCAGCAAGGCCATCTACTTAACGAGATGAAATTCACACGAAATGGCCTTTTCAATTAAGTCTTCCAAATGTAAAATGATATAAGCTTTTAATGAAGAAATAAAATGATCTAATTCAAAACATAATACAATTCAAAGATGTTTAATTTTAAAAATTCAAAACGGAGCATCGGGTGCTTCCATGAATGCGTCGTTCGTGTGCAATTTTTTTAGTGATTTTCCTGGCCGAAGGCCGTAATGTTTGTGAGGGGCGACCCGAACAACCCCCAGTCTAAAATAATCTGCCTGAGCCAACTTATGCCCCTACAGGAAAATTATTAGTTATAATTGATTTGTGATTGTGCAATACTTTCAATTGATCATGTGAAACAATTGTTTTTGTTGTGAGTAACATTTCTTTATTGCTTTTGCAATTTCAGTGACCCATGTCCCTTTGTAAACGATACTCATATTGGTCTCTTCAAGTTCTCACCTGGTTAAACAAAAATAAACTTGACTTAAAATTACTTAACTAGACCCCAAGGCAAAGATCCTACTTATAGCATGTCACTTGGTACAAATAACGCCAAAGGTAAATACAATGGGGAAGGTATGGTCCACCTGTACAAGGGAAGGGGGTTGTGGAAAAGCAGGTTCTGGGAGGCAGGGAGGAGAGATGGCGCCTCGTGCACGAAATAATTGAAAATGATAAAAATGTGCAGCAAGCTAAGCTATTGTGTTTGTAACGGGTGGAATACACGATTCCATCAAGGTGTCAATCACAATTGATCGAGCCCAGCTTCCTATAAATAGGGATTCCCCCCCCCCCCCCCCCACCCTGGGCCACGCAACAGAGGTGCAGGGTCACTGCAGGAAGACACCAGCCACAAGCATTTATGCGCCTAAGCGCCAGCCAGCAGTGCCGAGAGGAACGGTCCAAGGAAACAGGCAAACTTCAAGCTTGGATGCCGGGTGGGGAGCCGAGACGGGCAAGGACATTCAGCAAAAGGGACGAAGAGTACGCGGAACCTGCCGCTAGCACCACCCTATGGTGGGAAAGAGCCAGCAGGCACCTGGCTCGCTTCCTCTGCTCTGGCGATGGTGTCAGGCCGGTGGTGGCTTGCGACGCGCTGGGACAATGGGTTGCTTGTGAATGCATCCCAAAGCGAGTGGTAAACGCCATCGAAGGCTAAAAGTGTCTTATCTAAGGGTTTGTGAGTGTCGTGTCAGGAGAAGGGTGTCATCCTGGAACATATGGTGAGTGCACTGTGGTGTTCTCGAGATACGCTCCTGTGTGAAAACTGACAGGGTGGCTTATCTAAAAATGAATGACAGACCAACCCTATTGAATCGCCTCTGGTGAATGATCTCTATTGCTCTCGCTAGACTCGATCCACAATATACATGGGAGTGACCTGGCTGACCAAACATGAAGGTGAGCCTGGGAAAGTCGGCAAGAGACTAAACGCCACATAGCCTTAACAAACTTTTGGGGCAAGTGCCATTAGAGATCACCTACAAACTCCAGTACGATAGAGAGAGGGGGGGGGGTGATCAACACCACGCTCGACCACCTTTGTCTCCCTGGTGGTCATGTTTACACATTACACCAGTTGCCTCATTTGAGATATTCGCCACTTATTGGTTGCGAACGGGAATCCAATGCCAGTCGCTGGGTTTGTAGTGCCGTGTGCTAATCACTGCACTACTGCCTCCACACAAAACACACATGGGAGCCAGGTGCTCGCTCCCACCACTTGCCCCACACCGAGGCTACAGGGAATCCACCTTCCTTGCTACGTGTGCGTGTTCTTGCTACGTGTGCTTGTCCGCACGCACATTCTTGAGCGCGCGCTGGATGTCGACGCCCTTCCCCCAAGGCACGGCGGGGTTGGCGAGGCAGTCGCCGGCGTTGCCCTCACGGTGGAGATCGAAGCGCTGCTTGTAGAGTGCTCGGAACGCCTGCGAGATGACGAACACGCCGTCGTACGCCAGCGCCGATGTGTACTGCACACGTGTGTACATGTAAGGGCACGTGCAGGCTGTTTATTACACTCCCACAACACTGAGGACATGTGTATGTACACGTACAAAGATAGGCTTGAACAGACTGTTGAGGAAAATGCTGTTGGCGAACACCTATGAAGGCCGTATTTGTCTGCCCAGTGCTGATATTTACATACCGTACCAGGTCCTCACTTAAGGCTGAATCAACCTACCTACAGTATACAGGTACACAAGCATATACACCTGCATGCATGAAACATTCTTATGCACACCTAAGCATATATATGTTGTGGTGTAAAAAGATAAAGATCCCACTGTGTAGCCTTTATCAACCTGTTGGGGCAAGTGCTCTTAGAGAGCACCTTTGAAAGGCTTGCGTGGTGCACGAGAGAGTGGCGTGACCAGCACCACACCCACCCAGCCCCACGTCCCCTCAGTGCTGATGTTTATCCAGCACCCGCACATGGCCACCTTGAAATGGAGGCTGTCGGAGCCCGGGTACACGTGTGGGCTCTGCTTGTGCCACTTGTCCAGAAATGCAATGACTTGCGGCGCCATACGGTCCACCATCTGGAACCCTGACACGTTGGCCCCTCCATAGCGGAACACGTCCAGGTCCACGTCCAGGAAGCCCTGCGCACCATGAGGATGAAACAACATGCATAGGTACAGGTATGCACGTGTGCGCGCGTTTGTGTACGGGGAAACAGCAGTGTAGAGAATAGCGCCTTTGATTGCTGCTCATGGCCAACACCTCTGACAATTATCTGAACCAGTCCTGGTCCTCCCCTAGGTCGACTCAGCTTCAAATTAGTACAGGCAGACCTCGCTTAGCGCACAATATGCGTTCCTGGAGAAGTGAGCGTGAATCGAATCAGTGGTAATGGGGGTCATTATACTATTATTTATATGGGGATGCATTCCCGACAGCGTGATTTATTTCCTATGAGCAATATATGAGCGCTTCATTGGGATCTCAGTAACCGCGCTAATAATACAAGTGGTAAACATTATTTCAGAAAAAATCATAATAAATGATTATATCAGTAATTATTATGGACTGTACTCCTACAAGGCAGCGGTAGGAGATGAGGTTGGAGCTGCTGTGCTCCTAATCCAGGTCACTCAGAGAAGAGCTCCACGAACTCCACATTTGAGTGATACCCTGAGTCTAAATTTCTGTCGTGAGGTTTCTTTAACGTGGAGCCCGAGACTCTCTCCCAGGTTCTCGTTGGTTCTCACTTTGCCAGACAAATCGATTTCTTTTTAATGTAATCGAGACTACGAATCGTGATAATCGAATCACGGTGGGTGGGGTCTGGTTGGCTCGGCGTACGTCGCTCTCATTGGCTGAGCGAATGATGGGGGCGGGTACGTTTCCCCGGAAAACGCTGCTGTGTGTTCTTTCACTCATACGAGAACTTTGTAGATTATTTGATTTTCTTCATTTTTTTGTTTAGGATTAAATTTCCCCAGGACAAAGAGCACGAAAACGAATTAACTTTCTGTGGGGGGGGGGGGATCACGCTGAGCGAGGTCTGCCTGTACCTGACACAATGTTCTTTGTAAGCCATCTGGTTACCATGAGAGATTCGTTCATGAGGCTATCCACATATACAAGCACAGAGACAATTTCAACCGAGAAGATGAATTCTGGCTTATCAATCATTGGAAGGATATGATAAACCATTTCAGGTCTTAATTGATTGTTCACGCTTACGGTTGCTTTCAGACAGCATACATTAATTTTTCGTCTCCCCCCTCCTCTTTTCAGGACATAGATGGACTCGTCCTTCTAAACAAACTGCCAAATCGCTGCCCGTGGTGCTAACGTTTTTTATAAATAAATAAAAACACCGTTTACAAATAAATAAATAAAAACCGCCACTTCTTTCAAATGTTTCTTGCCGTTGGTTTTCACACCTGATGATGACCGTTTGTGTTATGGTCGAAACGTCGTGGGAATTTTTATTGTATTATATATTTTATTGTTTCCCTTCAACGTGACTACCGAAAGAGCTAAGAATCTGACACAATGTGTTAAACATCGCCACTGGGGAGACAAAGTTGGCTGTACGCGGTGCTATGTTTGTGGTCATGGATAAAATCATTGACGAACAAGTGAACCTTTCTCTATCCAACTTTGATTTCGCCAAATATAAGTCCCTCTCGTAACGTGCCCCCAAATACTTTACAATTTGGCTGTACGTTTCACCGTTACGCACTCAAGAAAATAAACTTTTCTAAAGACAAAAAAATATATGAAAAAAAGTAAGTAAAAATATATATTTTGCAGGTTAACCAACTAAAATCTTAATCCGATTGCATCACCACTGCCACGGCAGTGCCCAATGTCACGGGCTGGGTGTAGCGATATGAGATCTACCTTTATTTGTATGCTGCTGCAAGCAGCACACGAAAGCGTTAAAAAACACATTAAGTTACTCCTTATTAAGTAATCTTTGCAAGTCATAATTTTTCAATATTATTATTTGTTATTAAAATCTTAAGTTATTTTTTTGTAATGCCACCAATATTAAGTATGTCATTGATATGCATTTTGTAATTCCAGGGCTAAAATAATGAAATGAGATGACATTTAATTTTTATTCAGTAACACCCCCCCCCTTCCCCTATTAAAATATACAATATCTAAGGGAAAATAGGCTTCATACAGCGCGATTTGACTTGCGCGCTGTTATTCAGGAATACATGTTGCTCGTTATGCGAGGAACGCCTGCACCTGGTGTGATGTGTAACCATCAGTACTAGGGAAACAAAGGCAGTCAAGTATGATGCGAGCTACACTATTCCCCTCATGTGCCAGGATGGCCTCATAGGTGTTCACTAAAAGTATTTGGCTCTACAGTCTGTAGGCGAAATGGTGGATTTTGTATTTGTTTACAGGAGTGTCGTGATTAGTGCGCAGCGCTACGATCCCGGCGACCCGAGTTCGATTCCCGCTCACGGCTAACACCAGTTACAATTATCTGAACGGGTCTTTGGAACTCCTCTCCTAGGTCGACTCAGCCTCAAATGAGTACCTGGTGCAGTGGATAAACCATTGCCAGTGGGGAGACAAAGGCAGTCGGGCGTGGTGCTGGCCATCCACCCCCTCATGGACAGTGTCAGCCTACATAGGTGCTCACTAACAGCACTTGACCCAACAGTCTGTTAAAGCTATATGGGGGATATTTGTATGTCTTTGTATAGCCGGTGTGCTTATGACCAGCTCCAGATTGACAGCAGAGGTCTGACTGAATTCTTCAGGCGGCAATATCCTTGCATCGGCTGCATAACACTGGATGAAAGCCAACTGGTCTGTCACTCCACAGAAAGATTCAGGTTTTCTCGGCCACAGTCATGCCCTCCCTTATTTACATTTGCGAAACGTAGACCCCTCTAATGGAACATCTGCGCCAGTTAGAAACATTCAGACTGGCCTGCCTACGATCCATCCTGGGTTTAACCAGGCTGGATTGTGTGCGCTCACAAATCCTTGAAAGATCTAGACACATTCCTATCAGTAAGTTCCTCTGACGAGCAAGGCTGTATTGGTTGGGTCATGTAGCCTGCATGACGAGCTACTGCATGCCCAAGCAGCTTCTGTTTGGCCAGATAGAGGGGGATAAACGGATGCGGCGCAGGCTGGAGAAGAGATGGACTGATGCGGTATGGTAGGATATGGAACTGAGTAGACTTGCCGAAGACTGGTACCAGTGGTGTCAATATCAGCGTCTATGGAGTAGGTTCATGAAGGACGCTGCTCCAGTTGGAGGCAGTCGCCCTCCAACAACAACGGAGGGTAGAGGAGCGACATTCATAACAACGAGCGGAGTGCAGGGGGGCTAAAATGTAGCATTTTAGCACAGTACAGGGCACAGGTGGTGCATTTGCCAGTCATCGCAGTCAGTCAATCCATAGCACCTGGGTCTGTCCCGTGACCTCCTGTCAGCGAGCCTTCAACACTTCACGTGGCCTCGGAGTGCACCTGGCCTGGTACAAGTGCCGCAATGACGTCACCGCCACTTAGTGGCGAATGTTGTTGTACACTACTTAGATAATGTGTGTGTGTGTGCGTGCCTCACCAAATTGGCGATGATGTAGTGAAATCCCTTTACGTGGTTTCCCACATTCACCACCTGCATCCACACAAACACCCATCATCCATAATACAGGCTTTTTTCGGTTAAATCTCGTAATTATATAAATGTGTCGTTAAACCTGCCACCACCCGACACAGCCAATTAGTAAGGTTTGCCACGTAAACAGAACATGCCAATTTGTTACTCGTACAGCGCACCGGTGAGTTAGAGAGCCAAGTCACAACATTTAAAATCTGAGTACGACGTTTTGCCAGTAATTACAACTAACTTCATCAGGTGACAGACAGATTTTTGGAGAAGTCCACCTGTTTCGTTTCTTAAAAACACCCATCAGCCAGATGCCATCCACTGCTACACAGCAGCCTCACCACCATTCCTTTCAAATAATTCTCACCTGGTGTAACCAACATCTCTATAGAGCCATCAAGCTGCAAGGGAGACCTGGGAACCAAACAGTACGTGTACTTGGGCAGTGACATATGAAAAATAGTTTTTAAATTGCGGGTTTATTGCAAGAAGTGTTAATTTTCTACCAGTGAGTTTTAAATGTCAATTTTTTTTGAGCTGGAAGGTAGGGAATACAAAGGTCGACCATGACACTCTTAATGAACTGCATTCCATCAAATCTTAGAAGCTAAGCAGGTCAGAACCTGGTTAGTACTTTGGTGGGAAACTGCTTCGAAATTTCAGACATTGCAGAGTTGGGCTGCGAGGCAGCCAGGAGATGAATCCAATACAAGAATGCATTCTTGAATCCATTTATATGGAACGCTTGATGTTACCTCTTGAATGTTTGAATTTAACCAGACAATTTGGCCTCCTTCCAGATATAAAACACACACTAAACACATTGGCCAGACATTCCAATGCAAAACCCTCCTGAAAAAATATTGAGACCCACTGAGGCTTTCCTGGATATATAAAGGGCATTATTGTGATTACTGCACCGCTACTTCCGGAACCAAATCACAGCAGCCTGAAATTTCACATCCAATCGCTGAATCACAAGCATGCGCTTCACCAATAAACGGGACTGCTCATGGAGGGGGAGGCCAGGGGACCTGCAATAGTGTCGACGTCACCCTGTAGGTCTCGCAGTCCAGCACGATGTTACGTTCCCCGCGCACGGCCAGATCACGCAGGAGCTGCCGCAGAGCCTCCTCACTCAGGCCCTCGATGGACAGAGCCATCATGGCCCAGCCCCGGCGCGTTGCCTCCTGCACCACAGACTGCAGCAGCCACAGGCCTGTACACAGGCACACACACAAACATCGTACACACACACACTGGTAATGTGTATGACCGCATCACCTTGCATACACCTGATATACCACATTTCTGGGAAGCTCAACTAGGACATATAGTGAATTGACGGCTTCTCTGAGTCCACTCAGTCACTAGCCACATCCATACACAATGAGTGATCTGACCCTTGCTGATGTTTAGCCCACCATCCTATCCCTGTATCGTGAGTTATCATGATGCTGGAAAATGTGTAAATCGAGACAAAATCATGATTTTCACAAAAAGACTCTGGGACACAAGGACAGTGTTTCTGTGTGAGTGTGTACACTCACCAAGACCTGTGTTGTACAGGTACACGTGCGAGTGTCTACGTGCGTGAGTGCGTAGGGCAGTGGAAGAGTAGCAGGTTAGCGCGATGCACTAAGAACTCGGCGACCCAAGTTAGATTCCCGTGGTGAACATCTGAATTAGTCGGCTCGGCCTCAAAGGAGTACCTGGTGGGATTTGTAAACATCGGCTGGGCGTGGCACTGGTTATACACCGCCTCGTGTGTCATGCTGGCCTTCATGGGTCCTCACTAACAGAACTTGCCCCAACAGTCTGTTAAGGCAATACGGGGGATCTTTGTCCTTGTTTTGAGTGTACGCTCACCCCGGTCCGTGTCGTACAAGTACACGAACTTGCCCCACTCGTATCTGTCGATAAGGTGCAGGAGTGGCCACCCAAGCGGTGGCTGCAGCTCAATCAGGAACGGGGATGGAGGCTCCTGCAGACAACATCACTCATTCACTACTCAAGCAGTCAATACTCAAACATTCACTACTCATTCCTAACTCCTTTATAACATACTCACTACTCAAATTATTCACTCACTTCTCAGCCACTACTCAACCACTATCCATACGCTATTCATTTATCATTCTTATTATTTTTTGCATCTTAATTATTAATTAACTACTCATTTACGACTTGGTCATTGCTTATTCACAACACGTACATTTAATTCTCATTCACTACTTATCCCCTCGAGTATTCACTCATGGTACGCTCACTCATTCACTACCCGTGAACTCGTTCACTCATAATTTATTACTCATTCATTCAATTCCCATCCGCTATGTTTACCACTCATGCACTCACTGATTCAATACGCATTAATTCACTATTCATTCTCTCAATAACTCATTCTTCATGTATTCATTAATTACTCTTTCACAAATAATTCACATATTACTCATTTCTGACCCATTCACAAGTTACTAACTTTGCACTCATTCAGCAGTCATTTAACATCCACTTATTAATTATTTAATTATCATCTACTCATTGAGCCACCATACCGTCAGTCTCATTCATTACTCATTTCTCATCCACTCACCATTCAACCTCTAAATTCACTCAGAATCATTTTCTCATTCAGCATCCAGTCATGACTTATTCATTCTAAACTTATTAAACATTAATCTTTCATCATTACTCACTCACCAATCACTCTTCACTCTGGCATTAATCATTCATCAGTTAAATTCAGCATTCATTATTTAGCGTTTTCAATGTTCATACGCCATTCGTTCATAACGACTCCTGAACAGTTAGGTGTGGAACGATGCAGGGATTAATTAATTAATATTTATATTTAAGCATGGAATTGCATGTGCAAGATTGAAAATAATCAGCGTCTTTGTGGGAAATATAACAAAATAGATAAGCAGGCATACACCTCCTGCATATATCCTTCTCTCCAGATAAAATATAAAAGTTTTTCTTTTAGTTTTTTTTCACATAACCCATCAGCGGCACAGCATTCTGGGAGTGCATAATTTCAGCAGCATTGCTTCAACACAAGCAAATTCTGGACCGAAGTCAACATACAGGTGTCTCATCAGCAGTCAGGCTTGCTTGATCCAATGTTTGTGAACTGCTGGATGTTACAAGCCTCACAGCTGATGGGTTGTGTAAAATACACTTTCTTTTTTATGCGGAGAGATGGCTATATAAAAGACTGCTTATTTTGTGTATTATTAGTGTGCATTTTATTTGTATCTCTTATGCACCGAGTATAATCCCTGCAGCCACTAGAGACACTACTTTAACATTGTAAAAAATATAAATTCTTGAATCACGACGATGGATTATGAGAATGCATCTCATCTCTAGGGTTGGAGGGGATCATTTCACTCCCGCTCATCATCCACTCCGTCTAGTCATTCATTAATCAACATTATTCATGAATCATTCATTCATCTGCTCGTTTATTCAAGATCATGTTTACATACGAATTATTATTTGATCCAGTTACGTTTACTAACTGCTTATCATTCATACATTCAAGCGTCATTAATTTATTCCACATCAATCTTTAACTCCATATAATTTCACTCATCATTCTCTCAATCATTCATCGTGCAATCAACAGTCATCCAGGGGGAGACATAGTGACGGGGGAGACAGACAGCGGGACGGAGTAGAGAGACAGAGGGATGGGGAGACAGGCACAGACCTGTGGAGCACTCGGCGTCACCATAGAGACGTGCAGGGCGGCGCAAAACGACGTGAGGGAGCTGGCGGAACGGCGGTCGAGCACAGAAAACATGGCGAAGACACCGCGAGAGAACTGCGAACAAACTACACACACACCATCACCACCATCACCACCATCACCACCATCACCACTGTCACCACGTATGTGTAATTACGTGGGCGTGCGTATCCACGGCATGCATGTCCCAGGAGTGCATGCCGTACAGGCTTTGGTGAAGGTGAAGCTGTTGGGCAAGTCGATGGTATCCGTGTACACCGTGAGTCCGAAGGGAACATCGGACTCATTCAAGTTTGAGTTGTGCTGAAGAATCCCGAACCGGAACGCGCTGTGCTCCTGGTCCGATTGCCGCGTGAACAGCCCACCTAAGAGTACAAAGACAAATGATTGCAAACGTCGCTCCTCAGCCGTCAATTGTTTCTACAGGACAGCTGCCCAGCATAATGTTATAGGAGACTCTTCCAAGAGGCCGATCTAACACCTCTGGGACCAATCACTGGCAAGCCCACTCAGCTTCAGGTTCTTTGTACCACATCAGCCCATCTATTATTTTTATCCCCCCCCCCCCCCCCCCCCCCCCCCCTTATCCAGCCAAACATAAGCAGGCAAGCTGCTTGACCATTATACGACTGGGCTTGTGGTTTATGTGATCCCGCTAATGCATCCTTGATGGGACCATGTCCAGATCATTCAAGGATTTATGAACTCTCCATACAGTCTAGTATGGTTAAACTTGTTGTTGATCATTTTAAGCTCGCCAGCTGGAATTTTTAAGTCGGTGCAAGAATTACTGTAAAAGAGTCCACATCTCATAAGTATGACGAGAGCACATTTTTCTGGCTGAGAAGACCTGGAGCCTCATGTTGAGCTACAGGCCAAGCAGTTTCGACACAGTAATAAGCAACCATTGAAAAGATAACACCCCTTGACTGATTGGAAGCAAAACCTCTGCTACCAAACCAGAACTGGCCATGAAAATATTGTTCAGGTACAAGAGCTCTTACACCCTCTCTATCATCACCACATTATTCATGGAGTTCTGTACTTACGTTCAATTCCTTTCTCACCGTACGAAGTCAACCATGTTAATTGGAGGTGTGGTGGTAGGACAATAAACTAAACATAAGAAGCAGTTATATTCTTAGTTCTTTCGGTAAAGTCACGTTGAAGGGAAACAACAAAATAATAAAATATATATAAAACAATATTATTTTGTTGTTTCCCTTCAACGTGACTTTACCGAAAGAACTAAGAATATGAATTACTGCAGTCACGAAAGCTTTAAATCAAAATTTATAAGAAGCAGTTCTAAAGAAATTAGTTTTCAATCGAGCATCTATGGAGGCCGGCCCAGGCCAGGAGGAGGTGTGTGGCCAGCACGTTTGTCTCCAACCACGTGCTCATTTAAGGCTGAGTTGACCTAGGGGATGTCCATGACCGGTTCAGATAATCCTCAGTGGTGTTGGTCATTAGTGGGAATTTAACTCGGGTCGCCGAGTTGGTAGCACCGCGCGCTCGCTCCAAGGATATTTTTTGCATAGGAATTTTACCTGCTTGTTTAAATTATTTAGTTTTTCGTTTATCTGGCATATAGTACAGTAATTATTTCATTTGTGATGTGTCTATTTTTGATTTCCGTGTACCTAACCCCATCATATACGTAAGGTTTAAAAATTGAATATCGTGGTTTTGGCTTTCATGGCATTTTCCAAGAACATTACCCCCGCTATATTCAAGTGTCACCTGTACAGCAAAACACTTCTCTCAAAAAATGGCAAAAATCTCTATATGCAAAAAAGAGTGGTGTTATGAACCTATTCCACTCTTCGAGTTCTTCAAGCCATTTTCCTGAACATGTTTTTTTAAATATTCCATTGAAACATTCTACAAATCCAATTGAACTTTGGATTGTATGGTGTCGTCCACAATTGTCGTACTGACAACAGTCGCCCTACCTCCTCCATAAACTTCGATGTAAATTGTGTTCCTCTGTTTCTCAGCATCTCAGTTGGTATGCCAAAACGTGAGAAAATGTACACTAATGCCGCTGCAACTTCTTCTGTTTTAATGGTTGTGAGATACTCGTAATGGACCAATTCAATCTACTGCAACACTTTGAAAAGTTACGTCTATAAAAGACATGTGTCCCAATGGGATATTCAGCTCCCACCCCTTTGCAATTCTCTATTAACAAGTTGCAGGATTGATAAAATATGCACACATCCCCATTCACACCTGGCCAATAAAACTGAGATGACACTTTTCTAAGCGTCCGCTTAATTCCCAAATGTCCTCCCATCAATGAATGACGTGCAAGCTGCAACACTTTCTTTTGTATGGTCCGAGGCAGAATTAACTGCTTGAATTTTCTACCTTAATCAATCTTTGGAAATTGAAATTCCCGAAAATTAATCTTCTCCATAATAATTTTTCCCTCGTGTACTTTCTGATCAGTGGCATATTTTTCAACACAGATCTTTCAAACTTGGGTCCTATTGTTTTGCCTCTTTCAGTTCAGCTCCACTTATTCCTTGAATTGGTGTGCATTTATTTTAATTGGTTTAATTGCTTCTTTCCCACAGATTTCTGCTGCTCGTGGTCACCGCATTGGCTACCTCATATCTTGGTCACCCATTTTGCTCGATGGGTATATGAACGTTTTTTTTTGCTCTAGTACTTTATTGCAAGACTCCTCTGTACATTCCCATCCCAGCAACAGTTGAGTTTGCATTCTGGGTACAGATTATCTCTGAAATCACGTAATATAATCCTTGATTACGATATTAGTGTTTAATGTCTTCTAGCCTGATGGCTCTTGTTATGTTGCCTACCACTATGTAGTAAAGCGAAGTGTAAATGCACATCGCATGTACCATTCCGGTGGAGTATGGACATTCTTATGAGACCTCCTTTGCCAGTAGCAAGATATAGTAATAGGTTTTTACCCTTTAATCTGGCACCAAAACTGACACCTTTATACAGATGACGCCAAAAGGCATTATCAGAGTTGTCTCTTTTTGTTTGCATTTTGACTGCCTGTGTTGTGGTTATTGCAAACATGATCCCTTGTATAAAGGTGTCAGTTTTGGTGCCAGATAAAAAGGTAAAAGCCTATTACTATATCTTGCTACTGGCAAAGGAGGTCTCATAATGTAAATGCTTACCCCGAGCTCTCAATACTCTGATAGTGCGCTGTTTTTGAGCTGTATGCCTTTTGGCATCATCTGGTCCAACACCAGTGGAGACTAGGCTCTAAGAAAAGCCGTCTCGGGTGTGGACCAATCAATTTCAAGGACAGTGCCAATATCATTATCAGAGTTGTCTCTTTGTGTTTGCATTTTGACTGCTTGTGTTGTGGTTATTGCAAACATGATCCCTTGTATAAAGGTGTCAGTTTTGGTGCCAAATAAAAGGGTAAAAACCTATTACTATGGACATTCTTGTTCAATTTTAACAATGGGACATTTCCACATAGTTCCATCTATTAAGACAAATATGCATCAATTGTCAATCACAAATCAGTCCTCTTTTGATCACTATGTAAGTGCAGCCTGTATCTCTCATGACTGTAACACACTGTTTTCCCTTGGAACCAGTAACAAGTCTTGACTTTGTGGGTACGTTGTTACAACAGCACATTCCACCACCTGATACTGTCGTCACCGCATCCAATTCCACTGCTTGATGTATTACCTCTGCTGGCATTATAGGCTGACGGACATCCTGCCTTCGCATGAGTATCCTTTTTTAATCTAACACATTCACTCTCTTAACGGAGTTTCTTTGTTTAGGGTCGATTCACAATTTTTTTTCTCCCACCAACAGTCTCTTCCCAGATGTCCATATCTACCACAAGCGTAACACACACTACTGGTGTCTGCCTTTCTGCAGATTTCGTTGTCAATCTGTGCTTCTGGCTTAGCAATGTGCTGAGCTCTTGGCTAACTTACTGAATCAAATTGCGTCAGTCCTCTTTCTCAAATCCTTCTGTCACACGTACGACCATGAGGTTCCAAGTATCGTTCAGCACAACACACCATCGCTTGCACACTTCGGGTTTTGCTTCCTCAAATATATCCATACATCTAATCGGACATGCTTATAGTGCTTGCTTACGCGCAAGAAAATCTATTAATGTCATAGTCATGTGCACATTCACAAAGTCTGATCCAGTTTGTCAGATAATTTCCCATGCGCACAATGAACTGTTAAAAGTTATCTCAATTGCCAGGTCTAGCAGTTCTGAATTTCTGTCTAAAACCCTCTTCATTTGGCTTGACGATTTTCAACAGGGCTCTTCCTGACTGATAGTTATCTGCCTCTGTTCCACTCATTCTGTAATACACAAGAGTGCTTTTCCTTTCAGCAAAGTGCTAGAATTTAGACCATTCCTCCAGGCCAGCAATGTACTTTTGCAGATCTTTTAAATGTGTAAAAAACGAGCTAGGTCATCTTTAGCCTCATCAAAATGTGGTAATTTTCACGTGCTTGCTTTGGACCGGACTAGTGTTGTCATACCAGCCACATAATTTAATTTTCCTCAGATAGTATGAAGTGTTTCTAGTTCTAACATGTGTTCTCTCTCCTCTCTCTTTCTGCTCCCTTTTCCATTCTCTCTCTTTATCCATGCGGACTTTCTCATCCGTCTCAACGTGCAGCACGCTCCTCTCTTAAGAATGTGTTTAGCTCTGCACCCTCATAGCCCAATAGCTCACCCTCTGAGTTCCTCAATGCATGCCATGCTTCAACTGTGATCTCTATTGGCATACAATCGCCACCATGTACAGTACAGAGACCCTTGAATATCGCGGGGTTATCGTTCGCGGTTTGAGACGATCGCGGGCAACCTGTTTGTATACCAATGGAGCTCTTGCAGGGGATAGTTTTGGTCTTTCGTGGATATAATGTACCCGGATGTACAGGCAGTCCTCAAATTACGAACACCTGACTTATGAACACCTGCACTTACGACACTAGCTTGCATTAAAAAAATACTTAAAACTCAAACTGGGACTTGAAAACTGAACCGCGGAACTATTTTATTCAGCAGAGCGATCCTCTGCGAGATGTAATGAGTCGGCCTCACAACTGGGAGTGTTTGTGTGTACGCACGTGTGTGAAAGTGAGAGTGTGTGTGAAAGTGAGAGTGTGTGTGTGTGTAAAAGTGTGTGTGTGTGTGGGGAGCGGTAGTGTAGCGGTTAGCGCGCTGTGCTATGAACCTGGCGACCCGGGTTCGATTCCCGCTCACGGCCAGCACCAGTGACGATTATCTGAACCGGTCCCAGGCCTCCCCTAGGTCGACTCAGCCTCGAATGAGTACCTGGTGCGGTGGATAAAAACATTGCCACTGGGGAGACAAAGGCGG